ATATATATATATATAACGTAATCTAATAACAATGTATAAATAACTTTAGCCAATTTTTTCTTTTTACTTTCGGTTTTGTGAAAAGTTAAACGATTTTTTTAAAGTGATCGTGCTTAAATATCGAAATACAACGCGTTTGACGAAAATGAATTTTAATACGATCGCGATTTGTATATTTACATAATACATTTTTTGTGTTATGAGTAAGAAAACGTTGAAATAAATTCGGTGCTACGAATAAATAACATCATTTCTTTCAAAAAAAGCACCGAATTCATTTCTACACGTGCGCATAAATACGTAAATGAAAAATGTGTAAACGATAATATAATGACGATTTGCAATTACGAAAAAATTGGAACACATCTGATGATGTAGAAAAAAAAAGTACTATTCGACAAAAAAATAAAAATGATAGATAAATAGATAGATACATATACAGATAGATAGATAGATAGATGGATGGTTAGAAAATGATCTTGTTCATTTTCTAATATATAAATCGACACGAAGTACACTCCTCCTCCTGCAACTTTACAATTGTTTAAAACATTTTATCATCGCTTTCTCAGTTCGTAACAATAATTATCGATCGTCGAACTACCATCAGTGATTACACACTTTTATGATTCGATATACATATATTCACTATATATATATCTATATATTCGTATATATAGATTTATATATATATATATATATATAGATATATCAAAAATATCCTTAATAAAATAGAGCATTTATATATGTATAACGTACCGTCGAGTACATTTTGTTGTTGTTGTATTATAGTTTTATCCACTATATATACGTACGCATAACGTTTATTATTATTTTATTATTATTATTATTATATTATTCATATTACTTTTTAGTATATTTTAATTAATATTATATATTATATTATTATATATGTATTTTTTTTACTATACATGTAATATCCATTGCGGCACATTTTCTAATTGCACCCGCGTCGTACATACATATATATATATATATATATGTGTATATATTTATATATATGTATGTTATGTATATATGCATGTATGCATGTGTCGCCACGTGAACGAATTTCATAATTAAAATAATCGTCATTTGATTCCATCACCCATTCGTTGCTCGATTCCCATTTATTCTTTTTATTCCTTTTATTTGATTAACTAAAGGATTTAAAATATAGATGTGAAAATCGCATATATATATATTATATACACAATGTTAAATTTCTGTGATTGAAAATTATTCTCTTGAAACAAAACTATTATTCCTCTCCTTATATATATATTTTCTTTTTTATACTTTTAGTTTTATCACTACCACCAACCCCATATCTTTATACTTCCATCACGCTTATTCTTTCTCTCGAACACAAAAAAATTTCTATTGAACATTCTTATTCATTATAAATCTTATTAATTGTTTCACGAACAATGTTGTTTGTTCGTCTTTAACATGAAACATCGAGAAGCGATGTATTACAATTTAATGAATTTAATCGATAAAAAGAATGATCATAGTACATCGAAATAAGATTATGCTATTTATCACTCGAATTTAGGGAATAATATTCGAGAGCAATCAAGTAGAATTGATATATCACAAAGAGATCAGTTTTCATATTCGTTTTCATATGTATGTGTGTGTTGATAGATTGACAAAAATAAAAAGAAAGAGAAAATTAATATATAATTATTTATACATACAATTTGTCTTCTTTTTATTTCTTGCTTTTTCTTTTTTTTGCTTCTTCTATTATATAATATCATAATAAATTATTTTTTATTCAACGTTATTATGATTTTTTTTTTATAGAATGTATGGGTATGTGTGTTTTTTTTCTTTTCTTTAATGAATAGAAGAATAACTTTTGTTATTATAAGTAATTAAATTCTATCATCACGAATTCCAATATAACATAAGTGAGATCAGAAACAATTTGTTCGTTAAGTTAGAGAGGGTGGAATAAGGGTGGGATTATAATTACTTGTTAATTACAATCAATTTTATAAACAATGAACTCTCTGTAAAAATGTTAAATTAATTCGATTTATGCACACATATATTCGAATAGGAAACTATCTCAACGCGTTTTTTTCTACTTTCTTTTCTGCTCGATTATGATTCCTTTTTTCTTGTCGGTTTTTTTTTCTTTTTATTCTTCTTTTGTTTATTTTTTTTTAAAGTAAGATATGAATTTCTCATAAGTCAGTTTTATTGCTCCGTATATTTACAGAATTCCCTTTTTTCAGTCTCTCAATGTCAAATTATTCTTTCGTTCTCTTTTTCTCTCTATCTATTCTCACAGACACGTACGTAGGACACACACACACACGCACTCATTCTTTACATAGGAAAATAATGCATTTGTTTCGATACCCCTTTCGAAGCAATCTCTTAATTATATACTTTTAAGCATACTCCTTCTTCTTTTAGCGAAATATTCTTAAACCTTGTTTTATTTTTGTCTATTTTTAATTAATAGTTTCGAGAGTAGTTTTTATCTAACGATTAAGTTGCATTTTTTTAAAAACAAAGAACAATAGTAGTTATTCTCTCTTTCTCTTTCCTTTTACTACTTCATAACTTTTTCACATAAGTTAATTTCTCAAAGAAAATATATATATATATTTTTCTATATATATGTATATGTATATGTATGTACACGTACATACAAAAAGCGAGTGTAAGATATTGGTCTATTATTATTATTTCATTATTATTATGTTCATTATTATTTATGTATTATTATTGTTATTATTAATATTATTATTACTATTATTATTATTATTATTATTATTATTATTATTATTATTATTATTATTTACCATTATTATTTAGTCACAGATGCTTTTCTAGAGCGAATTTCTTCTCGATGCTCGTTTCTTCATCGTAGAAATATGATTTATTTTTTTCTTTCTTTTGCTATTCGTATAAATAAAAGCTAATAATATTAAAAGAAAAGAAAAAGAAAAAAAAGAAAAAAAAAACCAGAATAGGACAAAATATTAAGGAAAAAAAAAAAAAAATAATAATATATTTTACAAAATTGATCACGAACAAATATACGAACCATGCGAAAAGATAATTCTTCATTGTACAGCATGCATTTGTAGTAAAAGTTATTATTATTATTATTATTATATAAAGACACTCTCATGATCTCTAATATTATTATTAATTGTTTTTTTTTTTCACGTGGCGACAAAGAAAACGTAAAAAGAAAAAAGTCCTTAAAAGTTTCTGACCTATTCTTTTTTTTCTTGTTTTTTTTTTGTTTTTGTTTTTATGTTTCCCCGGTCGTAAATTGCGCATGTCCAGAGGTTACATATTAAGGAATCATACACAACGTGTTGTTTTCTTTTCATAAGTCGTAATGGTGATTCGTTATCGGCTTAATTATACGAGTTAAAAACTAAAATAATTATTCAATATATATATACAATGTGATATTGTAGTAACGTAATAAATAAGCTCAAAGTATACACTCTACTTCACATTAATAAAATTCGTCCATATAATAATTACAAATCGTCAGCCCAAATTTCATCATTACCATTATCTCATCTTGCTCTCAATCGTCATCATTAATTAATCAATCGTTTTCATCGTTATCTTGAACCTTATTATCGTCATAATCATTGTCAATCATTATAATCGCTCTATGGACACAAACAGGCCAACATATTACAATATACAATTTTTGTTCGGTTCGGAACAATAAAGGTTTCTTTCTCCCACTATTTCTTCTTCTTCTTTTTCTTTATCATCATTTCTTCTCCCTCTCTCTCCTTCCTTTCTTTCTTTCTTTCTTTCTTTTTTTCTTCATTCCTTTAGTCTCAGAAAGCATTTTGTCTAGGATAAAATATGCTACCGTGTCGCTTTAAAAAGTATAACCCTTCCAAAAGGAAGATATAATAATAAAATTGGCTGGTTGGCCATCATTGATCATTTTAATTAATAAGATCGTATTAAACTTATTTAATAACGATCCATCTCGAACTGTGTCAGATCTATTCGGATCTGTTCAGTTCTGTTCGAATAACGTAAGAAAGACCTTTACGTTCTGAACCAGTATATAGAATGTATGCTGCTACCTATTATTCGTTAAACTTTTACACACAAGCAATGAAATAAAGAGCGATTTATAACAGGGTTATATAATATAATCCTGAAAAGCACAGATCATCGAAATTTTTTCCGTACCCTTTGATTGTTCGTAACGTTCATTAATCATTATTTACTTAATGCACATCGTATACCGATAAAAACTAACGACTCCATTATCTGTGTTCATTTATATATAGGCACTTCTCGTGGGAAAATTAAAACAAATTTTACGCGTCTTCTCGCTAAATTTGTTTACAGGTGAGAAACTTTGGTTGACGTAATCGTTTTTTTAGAATCGAAATATTTTCATCATCATCATCTTCTTCTTCTTCTTCTTCTTCCTCCTCATCTTCCTTCCTCCTCTTCTTCTTTTTCTTCAATTTACGCACGATTACTATACATTCTATATCTTTATAGTCTGTAATTCTCACAACGTACATACATCATACGCTATATAATTTAATAGTTTCTTTCATCTTCTTAAGTAATATAGTGTGTGTAAAATCGTGTGTTCTCCTTTTTTATTATTCGAGTCACCGAAGCTCGGAGATAAAACTGCATCATTCACGACACTTTTATTTAAAGCATGCTTGCTATTCTCGCCTGTATCAACTTCGATTGTCTCTCTCCTCCTCCTCCTTCTCTGGTTTTTTTGAAACCTCAAGTAGGAATTTTAAGAAAACGAAGATATTCGTAAGATCCTCTTATCGTGTTTTTTAATCCAAAGAAACCTCTTGAGAGAATCTATTTATATGGAGAGAGTGAAAACGTGTGCACTCTTCTTACGGGCCCAATTAGGCGGGGGCAAGTTTTTTTTTTTTATAAAAAAAGGCGTTTGTATTTATTTATTTATTTACTTACTTACTCCCCCCCCCCTTCTGTTTAATTAGCTCTCATTTTTCAGTAGGTCTCGTTACCGTTTGTGGTATTACTGTCAATGACTTTGGAATTTTTGGCAAAATGGGAATTGGATTAGATGGCTTAGTCGTCACTTGTATAGACTTTGGCAGATTAAGATTATGTAATAGGTTTTGAGTAGGATTGTTCTCGTTTGACGGACGTATGTCACATATAAGAGGTTCGAAATCACCTCTGGTCTGACGATTCAACATTTCTTGTTGTCTTCTCAAATGTTGTTGGAATTGGGTTTGAGCGACATATTGTACTGCTTTTTGATATTGCGTCGTAGTTTTGAAATTCGGAGGAGAATTTGGATTACCCGATGGTGGTAGACCAGTAGGAGGACTTGCGCACTGTTTCTCACTAAACATTTGTTTTGGTTTCTTAAGATATTGTAATCGCTTCAATTCCGAATCATTCATCTGGAATACTTTGCCGCCCGAGGACATCGGTAATTTCGAGGTATCTTTACGTTTATTATTTCCATTGGCCGAACTTGTAGACGGTAAGCTAAGTCTTTGCAAATTAGGAGGCGGTTTTTTAATAATTGATACACCTGAATTTAATTTTATTGCACGCGGTGGACTTCCTTTCGTCGTTGTTAGTTGAATCACCGGTGACTTCGTAGCAGAACTTCCCATAGGTGGTAAGGAGTGTCTATCTCTTTCGAGCACGTAGCCACCGCTTAAACGACGAGAATTATGAAATTCGGTTGATATCGGTTCCATTATCGGTTCGTCCATTTTTTCAGGACCTTCGTAGGATATCAATCTATTTTGAACCGACGTCGAATAGTTTATGGCATTTCGCGAAGCGTTAGGCGCCAAAATTAAATCGCCAGCCCTGTAATACTTTTCCAAAAGTATTAAATGTCTAAGGAAAGAACTTTGATTCCCGTAAGGTCTTTGTAACTCTTGCCATAAAAGTTTCGTGTCTCTGTCATATTGAATCATCGTTGCACACTTTTCCCAACCCTGAGGAGTGATCTCTCGAACATTACCAAATTCAATGTTAGCATGAAGATTCATTTCTTCTTCCCCCGGGAAAAGAGTACGTACGCTTATAGAGGGATTAGCTCCGAGTCGTTGAACGACAGGAGTTATGTCGTTGCTTGTTCTTGCTTTTTTCGGTAATTTTGTCAAAGTTACCTCCTTGTCCATGGTAATAATCTCTACGACTTCGTTCGAAACACCGCAAGGCATTGTTCCGTCTGACGTATAATTGTTTACTTCGATTATCTTTCTTTTCTTTATTAACTTGTCTGTTGTACCCTCAACGCAAAGGAACTGAATATCGGCAGGAATGGTATCGTTCGTATTCATTTTGACAGAACGATTGTCATTGTCCGGTTCAGAATTTGTAACATCATTTTTAATAGGTTCAGGTGTTGACTTATCTGAGGCTGAATTTGTTGTTACATCCGGCGACTTGGAACTTCCATTCTTAGCTGGAGCACATTTAGCTTTTTTACGTTTATCTTTGTCTTTCGATTGACTATTAGAATCTTCTTCTTCATTCTCAAGTACCTCGATATCATGATTATGTAAGATTCTAGAAAATGACACGTTTTTGTACTATTTTTATAAGATCTTTACAAATGTAATCTGATCATATAAAATAAGTCAATGACACGACATACCTTTTCCGATAGCTCTTATAGAACGACCTGTGATTTATGCTCATATTTTCAGGATCCTTGTATTTAATTTGCAACTGTGTGAAATATCGACACAATTTGCAAACAAATGTTCTCGCAGAAAGTGAAACGGGTATCGCCTGTTGCGAAAGTCGTTGATTTAATTCTGTAGTTTCTGCGTCGGTTAACAGATGCGTATGATTTCTGGCCAGTCTTCGATTACAAAGCGCGCAAGTCAAAAATATTTCGACTTTACTGTAATGGACTACGCAAAATGACATAGATGTGTGTTGACTCGATTCCCAATCAATATCAACCTGCAATTGCATTTTATTATTTAATTGTAAAAATCTAAAACATGCATATATAATTAAAGTTAAATATTATTTATCTATAATAGAAACGTTAAATTGATAATTTATTGCAAACAAAAATTAATTGTCCGCAAATTTTACTAACGAAATAAATCAATACCTGACTTTGAAGTCCAGCTTTAATTTTAAGTAACCAACGTCGTTTAACATTATGACGAGCAGGATCTCTACAATCACGAGCTGCACATTTTGATACCATCAATTGGCGATGCTTTTGTGGTTTAGTTTGCATGTTTGTTGGACTAGTGTTCGCCTATGTGAAGAAGGAATAATTAATATAATTTCGATTAATTAATAACACAATGAAAATATTGATTGCTACATTAATTATAATAATTGTTCATACCTTTCTATCTACATGACGATAACACGCGTCACACAGACAAGAATCCTTATTAAGGTGTCTTTCTATAATTAATATCTTCTTTCGTCTTTCATCCGATTTCATTTGTGCCAAGTGCATAGGTGTATCCAAGGAACCAAATTTTCCAAAGCAATAACAACATACATCCGCACATAATCGTCCTGGATGAATAGAAAAAGAAGATGATTTTTCAGGAATAACGAGGGATTGACGATCCTTCGGCGGAGCTTCTTCGTTATCTTCATCTGTGATAATTAATAAGATCGATTAATACATAATGAACATAATATTCGTAGATTTTCTAAGCAGGGTTTGGTAAGATATTACGAATAAAATATTTGTTTGAAATATTCAGCCGTAGAGCAAAATACTAGTAGTTAGAAAACATTATCGCTATCTTTTTTTTTTTTTTTGTAATTTAAAGCAGTAGCAAAAGTCAACATGCATAATTACTAGAAATACAAAACTATTATTCATGTAAATTATAAAACTACAGATTCACAAAAAGGAATTGCCAAGCATTACATATTAAATGTTTGATTATAGTTTACACTTATAAATGTAAATTTGGTGTTAAATGTAATAATTAAGCAATCCTTTATGTCTTATCTGGTAAATAATATTTTTTACAGGACAGAAGAAAAGATATAAAAATATTGAAAAAGCATTAAAGGGAAAGGATCGATTAACAATGTAGTTATTCCCACAACCAGGATTACCGCAAGAGTGTCTGTGGTTAGTAGTGAACTTTCGGTTCGCACCAGAGCTGCTATCTCCCAAACCACTGGTTCCAAACTGAAAAAAAAGAAATAAAAAATGACAAAATTTATATGCTTTTATTGTTTATTTCTATGTATTATTACATTGAATTTCATCTTACCTCCTTTTGTATGGTGTAAAAATCAGGTGAATCTCCTTCTCCGTCGGTACGTCCTTGCTTCAAAACCATTTTCAAAGGTGATCTCGATCGTTTTTTATCTTTTTCCTTCTCCTTTTGTACGCGAATCACAGTTTTTAATGTACCAGTATATTGTTCCTTTCTTGCTTTCTGATTGTTTAATCTTTCAGCAGCTTTTTCCAACGATTCCAAACCCAATAATCTCAGAATAGATTCTTTTTTAGCTTTATCCTCTGGCGTTTCTAAAATTTTCATAGCAAGATTAACGCTACTAGATGATTCATCCGAAGTAGATGTCTCATCTAAATCTTTTTGAGATACTTCTTCTATTTTACTAGATTTACATTCATCCAACAAATTAATGTCATTTCTTTCTTTTGATGAATCATTATCTGCGATCTGAGTTGAAAGTCGTCCTTCTTCTTCTGATCTATTCGGTTCATTTGGAATTACTAGATCATTTTCCGATTTACTACGTAACTTATCATTTTTACCTTGGATTTTGTCCAAGCTATTACGACCACCACCTTCAGAGAAACCTCTAAAGCTATCAGAACATTTAGCAAGATTGTCATAATCACTAAGGAATCTATTATTTTCATTAATCTTGGCTACTTCATTGTCAAGCAATGTTTCTTCTTTTTGCTGATCAGACTTTCTAATATCTCGTTTGGCTCGTTTATTTTTCAACGTATTATTTAATGACTGTTGTTCTTCTTTACGTTTCTTCACTTCTCTACCACGCCTGGTACGAGTATGAGGCTCCAAAACATCACTAGTTTCAAATTCTATGGTGCTATTTTGAGATATGTCTGTTTCAGGAGTTTTACAAGTAGTTTCAGTACTTGCTTTCAGTTCTAAATTTTGTTTATTATCATTTTGTGCATTACATTCTTCTGTCGATTGACAATCACTTCCTGTACTAGATTTTGATGCATTTTCATGTTCTTTGTTACAGGAAGTTGGTCTTTTTTCAACTTTCTTTTGTTTATCACGTACCCTTAACACTCTCTTATTTTCTTCATTTGTAGCTTTAAGTTCATCATTATTCTTCTCAGAACATAATTTATTGCTCTTTTCTTCAACAGCTGTGTTCAAGGTATCATCTATTTTCTTATCAACCGTGTCTTCATTTGATTTTAACTTATTCGGGGATATTAATGTATCAATATTTTGATGTTTATTATCTTCTTTATCCTGACTAATAACATCCTTGACAGAATCATTCGTATCGTTTATTTCTTTCTTTGAAGTACATATTGGAGATTTGTTAGAGACAGATATTGAATTTAAGTCACTATTTATGATTGGCAACTCGTGAGAATGATTTTTTTCATCGATCTGATTTTCCAATAATTCAAAGGAAGCAGTAAGCGTATCAACATTTTCTTTGACATTAATAACTTTGTCATGTTTATTAATCTCTTTTAATGAATGATCTCTTGCTTGACAAATCAACGCTTCTTTTATTTTATCGATAGTGAATTTTGATTTAGAATGTTCATCTTTTGTAACAAGAGAACTTTCTACATCTTTAACAATATCATTAGACGTGTCATTTAATTTGACACTTTCACCATTTATTTCTTTATTTTCTACTATTTCAGATAAAGCTGAAAATTCATCTCCTTTTACTAATCTTTCAACATCAGAATAAATACTTTCCAAGGTTTCTGACTCCTCTGAACAATGACCAATACTTAAGCTTTCTACTTGAGAACAATTTATTTTATCAACTTCCGTGTTTGTTTCTATAGTTTCATTCTGTGCTTTAACTGATTCATTTATTTCTGCAGAAGATAATAAATTTGTAGTAGACTCAGCAATAACTTCAATTTTTTCAAGTTCCTTATTGCCTTCCTCACTTTCATTCAATAGTTTCTTTTCTTCTTCTATGCATTCATTGATTTTTTCTTTAAGAGAATCATGCTTTTCAATTGGTTCATCAGATACAGTTGCCAATTTCTTTCCAATTTCAGACTCTTCAATGTTATCTTGAGAATTTTTATCATTTGACTTCTCGGATTTTCTCGACAAAGGAGGAGATACTTTCTTGCTACTATTTATCGATTGGCTTTCCGTATCTTCTATTTGTTCTACTACCTTAGATGTAATATTTGAATCCTGATCAACTTCGCCACCACTTTCTTTAACATCTTTACATATATTTACTTCTTTACTAACTGTAGCTTGTGAAGGTTCATGAGAATTATGAGTTTTATTGATTGCTTCAATATTAGGAGTCTCTTCCCTATCTTGAGTGTTTTGTGATTGAGTTTCAACCAATTCAATGTCACCCATGACTAGTTTCTCAATTTCTTTGGCAGTATCAGCCACTTTTGGTACTGAGTTTTCAGAACTTTCTGATTTACTCTCATTTTTAGATGCATTAGGTTTATCTTCATCGTTACTCTCTTCTAATCCCAATTTCTGAGATTCAGTACTTAATGGTGCAATGATTTCTTCCATCTTTGGAATTTCAAAATTTTTACCCAATCCAAGATTCTTTTCTGGACCAAACATTTTATTTTCAATTGATTTTGCAATTGTTAATTTAATACTCTCTATCATTTGATCTATTTGTGACTTTGGATTGCCATCAGATTTCTCTGTTCCATAAAAGGAATTAACAGTTTTCCTCATATCTATATTTACACTATTTCTTCGTCCTTTAGACCTATCAGTTAGCTTGGACAAAATTGTGTCTTTTCTAACAAGATCTATATTATTAGTTTTCTTTATTTCTTCGAGTACTTCTACATTTTTAGGTGCTACACGTGTCTCCTCAATCTTGATATCATCTACTTTTGTATCGTTATCCGTACTTCTGGCTTTTGTTTTTGAACGTAATATTGGTCCTATTTCACTTAATCTATCTACTCTCTCGCTATTATTATTGTTTTCTATTTCTATTCCAGTTTCACTTTCTGTATAATTCTTGGAGACTTCATCTTTAATCATAAGTTCCTCTTTCATCATTATTTGAGAGTAATTACCGCTAGATTCAGAAAAACAGGATTCTATATCTACATTCCCATCAGAAATCTGTTCTGTCAAAGTTTCAGATGCAGCAGTATCATCGGAATTTAATCTACGTCGTTTTTTAATCTCTACATCATTTGCAAACGACGTTTCTGAACGTTGGCGCAATTTTCCATTTCGTAAACTCCTTTGGGTTAACAAAGCATTTGAGCGTTTCCTTAATTGAATCGTAGTTTGAGTATGATTTCCTTGTTCTATGTCACCGCATTCTCCTTCAGACATTGTTCTTATATCATCGCAATCAGATTCCTTCTTTACTTCGCTCTCAGGACTAATATTTTCATCCACCAACATTTTCCTACTCCTTGTTATTTTACCTTCTACTTTTTCTACAATACCTTGCTGATTATCTACTTCTGAATCACTCAACATTGAAGCTATTACTTCGTCGATAGTAAGATCAATAGAGCTCTTGTTATCTAAGACTGATTTAGGTAATTTATTATGCACGCTTTTAATGTTATTAAAAGAATCAGTATCTTTCGTTGTGCCTCTTTTACCTTTTAGATATTTATCCCCTTCTATGATTTTTGTATAATTTTCTTTCTCTTTTATAGTACTTTTTTTCAGTCCTGTATTTTTTAAAAGTTTGGCACTTCTAGGGGAAGAGTCCACAGTATCTATCAGTTTAGACCTCTTACTATATTTTGTATTACCTTTTGTATTCAGGTTAACAAGAGCGTCTTGATCTTTTTCTGAATTATCTTCGTTATCCTGTTCGCTGTAGGTAATCCTTGTCAAGGACTTGGTTTTCTTGGTCCTGAGATTAATCTTGGCACTTTTGTTGGTTATTTCAGCAGTTTTACTACTTTCTAAATCGTTGATATGATTTTCTGTAGTTCTTAAATTGGTATCAGAAGATCTATCCTCTTCTTCCTCTTCTTCGTTCTCTTCTTCTTCTTCTGCTTTCTCTTCTATCGATTTAACTTTCCTTGCTTTAATACCTTTCTTGATATCAGAATTTATTCTGCATAAATTTTTACTTCCTACTTTTTTGGTAACTTTTGTCTTAATGAAATTATTAGTTTTTGTTACTCTTAATTTCTGTTTACGCTTAAGGTTCTTCAAAACCTTCTTTCGTGGCAAACTTGCTTCTAATTTTGCAGGAAGTTGACTGCCCGTTGCTACTGCATCAAAAATATCACGTGCAAGCTGTTGTTTTATATTGGACAAAGACTTGCCTTTTCTACTTTTGACTTCATTAGATGGCAAGCCAGAGTCATTATTCGCCTTCTGTTTTGATTTTGAAGGCGCTAAGGGTCGTTTTTCTCTGGATGCCATCTCACTTCAACCCACATTGGGCTCCTGAAAAATCACCTCTTGCTAGTTCTCTATTAATGAATAATGAAATTTTACCTACTACTAATTAAAATGTATTTGAAAAATTGAATAAATTGCAAATGTTTAAACTCGACCTAATTATGAAATATTATTAATAAATAATATATTGGAGTATATTTTGTATATAATCTCTATTATCTATATAAAAATTTATATATATATATATGCATATAAATTTATATATACATTTATGCATCCAATATTTATGGTAAACATATCATGGCGCCAAAGTTAACAAAAAAGAAAAAATAATCAAATAAATAAATATATATATATATATATTTATATATTTTCTATACCTACAATATATTTCAATATTCCTTATATGCAAATTTGACAAGGATGTCAAAGATATTTTCTATTTCAATTTATATTTATAAAATATCGTGCGCATAAGATATTTCATTAAGACGCGATCGTTGATCGAAATGTCAATTTAATGAATGAAAAGAAAAAAAATATAGAGAAAGGGCACGAGATATAGTGTTACATATATGTATAATAGAATAAAATATTAGAAATACCTTTCCTCTTAAATATAAGGCAGGAACAATAAATGTATTGTACACCAAGTAGAAAAACTACATAATTCGTCTGGACTGCGATAGGTAAGCGACCGGTTGGGAAGTAGGGTTGATAGATGCGGCCCTGGCGTTCAGAAAAATTACGTGACAAACTTTGCATTTACACGGATACACGAAGCGCCTCTTCTCCGTAAAGGAACTCGGGTCCAAAATATTTCGAGCGATATCTGGCATAATAATGAACAGGTTATCAAAATTTTGGGCTCAAAAGAAAGGCCGTATGGGGTATTAACTACCGAGTCAAAAAATCTGCCGATAAACGTGGCCGAAGTAATGAAAATAAATTGATAAATAGTCGCGAAAAAATCGCCACGAATAAACAAAAGGTCGGCCCCGATTCGAAATTTCTAAAAACTAGCATGAGACGATAAAGATAATATCTTGATAAATAATGGGTCGATTAGTCGGTAGGACGATTTTACTTACCTCTGAGGCCAAAAATCGCGCCGAAGATCCGTGATTAACGTGAGAAAACAGGAAAAACAATGTCGTGAAAAACACAGTCCCGTTGCAGGGTGTCTGAACGCTGTCCTACTGTTAACAGGCTAACGCCACCTGCTGGTCAAATGCGCAACTTCTCCCACGTCCATAGCCCATTCAAGCTAATCTCATGACATTATTTCAAAGTATTTAACTACATAAACTTATAAATTGCCGTTATATCTTCCTTCTTTGCGTTCTATAATATATCACTTCACTTTACGATCAAAAAATTGTGTAAAATGTTAAACCAATTATATGAAATAATCCACGACAAAGTAGCCAACAACGCGGCACTTCTAATCCTATGCTACATTTACGTTAACTAAAGCCGCTGAATATTATTGAAATTCTACCTTACAAAGAATGCCTCGACGTTCCGATTTTCTCCCCACGAACGTATCCTACCTGATACTGACAAAAACTTTCTCGAGAAAGTCGAAAATAATATGGGAGTAAGAAAGCGAGGGCGATAAAGAAAGCACGGTGAAACGCAGAGAGGAACGAAAAGGAAGACGCGCCCGTGCGCACCAATGGCGGCCACCGACCCTTATTTACCGAGCTCAAAATGGCTGCCCTTCGTATTTTCACACGCTCGTGCTTTCCAAAGATTTTCCAAAGTTCCGCGGCTTTACAATCGATGAAACATGTCTCCCCGACTATCACCGAGGTACTAATTTTAACAATTATCTTTTTATATACTTATTCCATAACGTCTTGACTATTAATTAAGTCAAACTACCTTATCGCACCGTCTAACTGTAGTTAGTGATTTTCTCAGAACAACGATAGCGAAGGGCCTCACGTATTCTTACGGTGTGCGCGTGTATCCACTCTCTTGCAATAATTTACTAACACTCTCCTATGATATTATTCTTATCGCCTTTTTTGCGTTACATTATATTTCTCTCTAATAAATAAATCCTTTATAAATGTTCAAAATTGTCTTATTTTTACTCAATAATTTGTAAAATACAATGTAATAAGTATGAAATATCGAAAATTGCAACTTTGTGAAATCTTTTGTTACTATTATCTCATAGCAATTTTTCTTTTCTTCGATATCATTTTTTTAATTTTAAAAATATAATACTAAAAACTAATTGTTAAACATTTGATATAATACTTTTTCAATTAATTTTGATTACATTTATATAAACGAATAATTGACTTTTCATAGAATATATAATGATTAATAACAAAAAGAATGTGGTTATTTTATTGATAGGTTTATGCTGTAAAATTAAATTGTTTATATTATTAAAAATGTATCATTTTGATAAAATTATATATATCACGATAAAAATATTAATAAAGATGTCATCTTTTTATTTTTTTTTTTTAGATTCATAAGAGATGGAGTAGTTACAGATCTTCTCCTACATACAAAGATCCTTCTCATTACACCGACTATGAGATATCTACTGATCCAGTAGAATGGAGCTATGTAAACCGTTTAATGAGATATAAGGTCATACCAAAACCAAAAACTACTGATACAACTTTACCTTCGGGATGGAAGCCAGCAACTGGTTAGCATACTTTTGTTTGCCATATAGTATTATACAATTGATATATAAATCTGTTGTCATAGATAATTATTTTAATTTTAATTTTATTTAACAGCGAAACCCAGCGACTACTCTTACTTTGTACAGCGTACAAAAAATTATATGGTACCTGTGTATCTACAAAGATCATTTAGAGGAATGAGAAGAGTAACCTTTGTACGTAAGATAGAAGGAGATATTTGGAAATTAGAAAAAGAATTAAAGGAACATATTATACAAACAAAGAAAAGGACAATCGGTAGTAGAGTAAATGAAATGGTCGGTGAAATTAGATTTAGAGGAGATTTTGTATCATGTGTAAAACAATGGTTACTAGATAAAGGTTTTTAAATTTATATATGTTAATTTGGTTTTATATTATAAATATAAGAATTAGGATATTTATAATGTAAATATGATTATGTAGGAACTGTTACAATATTTTCATTGTATACTTGTAAAAATAAAAACTTCTATCATTTTATAACTTTTTTCTAATACCCAATAAAACGACTAAGAGTTCAAGCTAAAAATCTTATCAAACATTATCAAAATCAAACTAATTATTAAGCTTATTAATATTAATTTTAATAATAAATTGATAAAAACATGTGTGTGTGGAAACTTATGCTAATAAAATATTATGATCATTTATCTTAAGTATATATATATAATTTACTTATATATATGAAAATATATAAAGTAATAGGTAGAAACGCTTCTTTTATGTTCCATTCACAGGAGAATTTATTTTCATAAAGCAATTATAATAAAATCAGTACCCAGCATACTTTTATGTTTTAACTTAAAAAATCATCAAAGTTATAGTTTAGTAAAGCTTTTGATAAAAATCTGATCACGGTACACATGAAATAACATATAAATATATGTTTTTTAAATAACATTATAGAGATCTCAGGCAAAGAACATTAGTCAGTACATATACTAAAAAATATATACTGGACATAGGACTAAAGGCTTTACAAGGACAAAGTTTAATAAATTCTGTCAGTTTTTACATTTATTGCCTCTGAATGGAGCGTTATGTATCTGTAAGCAAATTTTAAATTTTACTTGAAGACTTTTCCTTGATTAAATTTACGTCCTTCTTTATCAGTACCAATCCAACTGAAGTACTGATGTACCAATTCCTTTGTCTTTTCATCGGTTGGATCTAATTTTGTCCAACTATACGACTCATAATCTACTTGCCAATCTGGACATAACTGCAAAAAAATCCATATATTTATTAAAAATATATTCATTAATTTTTTTTAAAGAGTTGATTAGTAAGTACTGCATAAACATACTGTAAAAGCAAGTTCTTGTCCACGCCAAACCCATATACCACTAATAGTACTATCATTGTCTGTACCAAATAAGCAGGTACTGGCAAAAGAAGCTTTACGCATTTTATCTAGTCTTTGATACATTCCAGTAATAAGATTGCACGACATAAAAACCTAAACAGAAACAATTATATGTATATAAACACGTTTATACAAATTCATATATAATTTAAATGAAATACTTGCATTGGATTATAATTTTGTATATATACTCACTTTAGTTAATTCATTGTTGTATTTATATTCACTCAACCAGATGCTATAATGTTCTGGATCAAATTTCTGCCAAAAATATGGTATTGACTTCGACTCATCTTCATTGGAATAAAATCGCTTGAAATCATCAAGATCAAAAGAACCCTTTGGTAGAGTATCGAAAGGATTTGTTGTTTTAGGTTCTGCAGCTAAAGCTATTTCTACTGGGTCAAGATCTTCACAATCTTTTGGCTCTTTTGACTCTTTTGACTCCTTCGGTTCTTTCTTTGATTCCTTTTCTTTCTTTTCTTTTTTTGAAGGCTTTAAAATAAAATATATATATATATATACATCCATAATTTTAAAGATTATATAATAAAATATTTTGAAGACAGATTATATACCTTTCCTTGCATCTCAGCATACTTCTTAGGATTAAATTCTATAGCTTTTTCAGCCAATTTAAAGGCACCAATTACAGCAATAGATTCAGGTTGATAAATTACTGTTTGGAACCATCGGTTAACATTTTGGTATGGTTTGCGTAGATTTGGTTCAAGAACATATTGATATAAATGGAGTAAAGTCATTGCTAAACAAATATCAGCTAAAGTTATTCGTTCTCCAACAACATAGGTTCTCGTAAGTAAATGAGAATTTAAAGTTGTTAAAGCTCGCTTCACATCTTCCTTAGCAGCTTCGATCGTCTGAAATAATAATTTTTTTGATTTAATTTACAGATACTAATATTTGCAATTTTTAAAATCGTACAAATAATTTATAATTTAAAAAGCTGTATGTATGCAATTGAACACAAGTACAAATATATATGTACACGTGTACTTATGAACAGACAATATATGCAATTATTTATTTACCTCTTGTTGTTACAAACAATTGTCTGAATTAACAATTGTTGCCTTTGAAAGAGGACAAGGTTCAATATTTGTATTATAAAAATATATGTTTATATAAATATATACAGGTACTAGTAATCATATATAATCATTTAATACCTGTTTGTTGTATGGCATAATTCCAAGTAATGGGAATATCCAAGCACAACTGGGAGGAAGAATTTCAGAGTCAGCAAATCCACACCATTGGAAAATACTAGCTCTTTCAATATCAGTTTTTCCTCTTAATTGCTCATTGGCAACTGTTAAAGTGATAGTAATCGAATGAGATTAAGATAACAGTAATAAGGATCAAAAATAATTCTACTTACCATAGTAAGCAATTGCATTACTTTCCGTAAGGTATTTTCCATCACTTGTTTCAAATGCCGGTACCTAAATTTTAATTAGTATAGCAAATATATTATCATTATGTACTATTTAAAACATCTATTAAGAACTGATAGCAGCTGGTTAACAGAAGTTAACAAGACAACAGTTAAGAAAAAATAATATGACATATAATCTAACTTACTTTACCAAGAGGAAACTTTTTTAAAAATGCTTCAGTTTTGTTAGTTTCTCCAAATACAAAGTCTTCGGCAACTTTAATCTGCGCGCCGGAGTATTGAGCAGCAATCAGAGCCTTATATGCCCTGAAATTATCTGGGTACGTGTACAGGGTCTGGAAAAAAACATTAAGATATCAAAATTATTATACGTTAATAATCACGTTTAATCCATCATAAATAATTATTGATGCATTCTAACGTCGATGATTATAGCTGAAAATTGCATGAATCTCACTTACTCCTGACGCCATTGTATCCAGTTAAGGGAACAGGAAGTTGAAGGCCGGTAGAGACCACACTGCTCGAATTTACTCCTCTGATTGAGATTCTACTTTCTAGTTTTTTTTCTTTCTTTTCACTTTACAATATGATTTTTTCAATATGAAGTTTTATAGCTTACTATGTTTATATGCATACAATATAACTATAAAATAAATAATAAATAACAATTATATTTTTATATTTATAAAAACTGCAATGACTTAAAGCGATTAAAGGAGCATATTCAACTACCACATACAACTATGAACTGACAGGTTTCTTTTATCCGTTTTTTAAGTTTCTGTTGCAACACTTCTTACAGTTAAGGATTGCTGATTGGTCTTTGGTTGGATAATATGTTCATGTTATTGGTTGAAAAATGCAACATTCTGCTAGTATTAATTCCACCATAGTGGACCAATCACATTCAACTTATTTATTAATTACAGGATTTTATTTATCTTTTTTATATAAGCATTAAAAATTGTAGTATTAAATACGATCAATGTCAAAATAAATAGAAATAGAAATTGCGATAAAATTGAATCAAATATAAATTTAAATAAAATATGTGTTCCCAAAAGACAAGAAACTCATTCGAATAGTTTACCGAACGCATTGTAAGATTTAGAACTGACTTTACCAGAAAATTTTGCCAATGACATTTAATTCCTCGTAATAAACATGGCTGCGCTGAAGGAGGTTGTTTCTTTATACCAAAATTTAAAACAAGAGTGGACAAAAACACCTTGTAATTTAATAAAATGTGGCAAATTACTTAATCAATTAAAGGTGACAGTTCATTATCGTTTTCTATTTAATAAGTTTTATTTTTTTTTTAAATGTAACCTCATTGTTACATTAATAGTGATTACATTAGTTTTATTCGTTTATTAGTTTAATTGTTTTTTTGTATATATACAAGAAAAGATATTATACATTGTCTAATTTATATAGGTGGGTCTCACGCATTTAATGTTCCTACCTACATCCAATAGTACAGCAAGTCAGAATGAATTGCTTATAGCGAGTATGTTACTTTTTCATATGATATTATTATGATTGTCAATGTTTTCTATTATCATTAAAATGTATATTTTTATTTAAAGGAGATATATTAGAAATTGGTGCTCAGTGGAGTATAGCAGCAGAAGATATACCTTCTTTTGAAAGATATATGGCCCAATTAAAATGTTATTATTTTGATTATAAATCAGGATTACTTGAATCTGCTTACAAATATCAACTTTTGGGCCTAAATTTGTTATTCCTATTATCTCAAAATCGTGTAGCAGAATTTCACACGGAATTAGAACTCCTGCCTTCCGATCAAATACAATCGAATCCTTATATTCGACATCCATTAAGTTTAGAACAATATTTGATGGAAGGTTCATATAACAAAATATTTTTAGCCAAAGGCAATGTACCAGCTGCATGTTATAACTTCTTCATTGATATATTATTAAATACTGTTCGTGATGAAATTGGAGCATGTATGGAAAGCGCATTTGACAAGATTTCTATTAATGATGCTTCTAGAATGCTTAATTTATCTACCGAGAAAGATATGAAAGCCTTTGCTACCAAGAAAAATTGGAATTTAGCTAAGGATGGATACTTTTACTTTAACACAACGCATGAAAAGAAAGCAGAAGAACCAATACCAAGTGCAGACCTAGCTACACTAGCTATAGATTATGCTAGAGAACTTGAGATGATTGTTTAATAAATTTATATATTTTTCTGTATTTTAATTAAATAAATAAAAAATAGTATATAAGAAACTACACTAATACTCTTCTCTTATATTTTCTTATTATTAAAAATATTAAAATTTTGTTTTGTAATTATTCATTTTTCTGTACTCTATATTAATATATTTTTATTAAATTATTTCATATATTATTATTCAAATATATAAACAAAAAATTTATCATATGTTAATTAAATCATCATAAATTTTCCTTTTAATTGATTCATTTTATTGAATAAAAATAACGATCGATATTTGCATATATTTTATAAAATTATCATTACACATACAATGGGTGCGTTCCACTAAGCGCTCACAACGATCAAAATGCTCCTTTAGTCGTTCCACATAACGACCGCGGTCGTTGTGGTCGCGGCGAAAACGTCACTCATGACGTCATTACTAACGCTCACGCGAAGCCCACAACGACCCATCTGAAAACGTGGGTCGTAGTGAGCGTTGAGAAAATTAGCGGTTTTTTCGAAACTGACAACAATAAAAATGGCGACCGTGAAACTGACATGAAGGATTACAGATTAAATCTTAACCTCTTTAATCTTTTACTTTCTTTTCACTACCTCGCCATTTGTATTATTACCTCCACGCTCAAAACGCACCATAGTCCATTCCACTTGAATTTACGACAGTAACGCTCGTAGGTAAGTGGAACGGGAGAAACTGTGGTCGTGAGCGTGATCGTTGTGAGCGCTTAGTGGAACGCACCCAATGTGTTAATGCCTGCAATTCGACTTGTTCGATATAACTAAAGAATTAATCTAGTAACTTTTGACCGTATACAAATGGAAGAAGTGCAATACTGATTCTGACACATACTTGTCATTTGACAATATTTTTCACCGAGAACAGTGAAAAATAATTCTACACAAAGTTCTTACAAGGAATTTGTATCCAATTTATGTAAATGTATTCCGATAATTGTTAAAATATTTTTGATTAGATTCTTATTTATTGATTATTAATACAAACATGCCACGAGAATATGAAGGTGTTAGTAGATATATTTCTGATAAACAAATGGTAATATTTGATATTGGCAGCGCATATACAAAGTAGGTAAATAAATACTTTTTTATTTAATGCAATATATTTCTTTAATAATATGAAATAAAAAATAAAAAACACAAATTAGATTTGGTTATGCCGGAGAAACGGTGCCAAGAGGGATAATTAAAACAGAAGTTAAATGTGCTGAATCCAAGGATGTGAGAAAAGTATTTGATTATTCGGATGTGGAGGATTTGTATCAACTTCTTGTTGAATTTCTCCATTTACTTTTCTTCAGGTAACATTATAGTATGCATCAAATTGAAATAATCATTTTAATGTTTTTCTATTTATTTACTAGGCATGTTGTTGTCAGCCCAAAAGATTCAAGAGTACTTATTGTAGAATCTTCATTAACTCCTTCTAAATTTAGAGATACTCTCGCTAAAGTAATGTTTCGACATTTTGAAATTGGCTCTTTGCTCTTTTTACCAACGCACTTAGCAACGATTAGTACATTAGGAACTGATACAGTCTTAGTATTAGATGTCGGTTATCAAGAGGCAACATTAATTCCTATCTATGAAGGTGTACCAATTTTAAAAGCGTGGCAAGCTCTACCACTCGGTGCTCAAGTTGTACATAAGTAAGTCATCTATCATAATCAATATCATATTTCTATTAATGTTTGGATAAAAAGATATGAATATTTTTGTTTAGAAATATAAAAACATATTTAGAGAATAGTTTGCCTGATTATGATTTGACTGAAAAAATAATTGAAGATATAAAAGTGAGAACTTGTTTTGTTACTACATTGGAAAGATCTAAACAATTAGGATCTCAAGATCCTCCAGCTCCTCCGCCAGCAGTTAAATATCCTAGTATAAAAACTGTTACTATTCTGGGAGAAATAAGAGAAAAAGCTTATGAAGTACTATGGGAAAGGGATAATGATAATCTTAGTATACCAACTATGATTTTGGATGCTATCGTTAAAGTAAGCTAATATACTACATTATAACTTTATTTTCTATTATAATTATTTATTTATCTATTTATATTTGTAGTGTCCGATAGACGTCAGACGTGTCCTAGCAGAGAATATATTATTAATAGGAGGTACAGCAATGGCCAAAGGTTTTGCGAGTCGTTTAAAAGCAGAATTGTTATCTTTATTGAAAAGTGATTTATATGGTGAAAAATTAAAAATAAAAACATTTAAATTTCATACAGCTCCAAGTAAACCGAACTATACAGCTTGGTTAGGAGGAGCAATCTATGGTATTGCAGATTTCCCTTCAAGATGTCTAACAAAAGAAACTTATTTAAAATTAAACAGAGTCCCAGACTGGACTAATTTAATAGATAATCAAAAAGAAGATTCATTAATTTGTGAAATGTAATATATGTAATATAAGATGTATCTTATATTTCTTATGTATTTATCTTTATCATATAATTTTAAATAAAAACATTTCTTAGTATATCTTGAAAAAAATAGTATGGAAATCTTATTCGTTGAATAAACAAACATATAAAGATCTAAAAACATCATATTAATTGTATACTGTGTTATTATTTTATTAATACAAGATGTTTATATGTTTCAAAAATTATAATGTTGTGAGCAATGTAAGCTTTTCATTAAGTTGCAATTGTGTTTTTATCAATTGTGACAATGCAACTACCATCAAAAGATCTTTTACATTGCTGTTGAACATATCATCGAATTGATCACAGCTCATTTTTGGTACCGAATGTACCATGTCCAAAAGAGCTCGACCAACCTAAAATAATTTATATTAACAATCTTGTTATTATAATATTAATAATAAACAAAAAAATATATTTACTTGATTGTCTGGTGGTTGCTTTCCTGCAAGAACATCATCGACATAATTGAGAACTTGTTCTAGCATCAAAGATAATTTAGAACTAGCTTCTGCGATTTGTGCAAGATCCATCATTGGTTCTATTCCTCCGCCAGCCTTAACACCAGGTACTGGTACATGAGATTGTAATTGTGTTTTTGAACACAATTGCAAACCAACAACTTCAGGTTCATAGCATGTAATCTAGAAATAAAACAAAAGTATTACAGCATAAATATAATAATAGTATATTTTACAATTTTTATTTAGGATAAAATATATTTTATTTTAATTATACACACCTGTACTTTTACCGGTGTAAACATTGAACCTTGTTTCCCTTTAGGTACTCCTAATGGGACGCATACGTAAGCTTTAATTGCCATTCTTGTAGTATTAGCTAAAGTAGTGTCAACTGTTAAATGAACTGGATTGTTACATTCTCGTACATAATATTCATGAATAACAGACGAATGAGTAGTAACCTGTAAGAACAACATAATTCTTTTAATTTTTCTTAATAACAGATATTTCTTTATATATTCATTTCTCTTTTATACAATTTCGATATTATATATGAGCCGTTTATAGGTCAAAACGATTGTGGCTTATATTTTAATGAAAAATTATTAATACCTCATTGCCCGTTGCCCACCAGCCAACAACATTTTCTTGAGCATTAACCCTATGATTCAACTCGTACAGGTCTACTCCATATGAAAGATCAGCTTCTACTTGACTTTCAGATTCTTTGTGCGGTACACAGAAACAATTAGTAACTTCAACGACTCCCTTTTCTGAAGTACCTACAACATTTTCATACAATTCACATGCAATATTGATGCACGCATAACCTATTTGGATGTTACCACGATGCAACATCGTGATGTATAACTATATCAAAAAATAAATCATACCTAATAATGTACCAATTACACGTAAAGATTCAGCTTTTCGGCGTTCATATGCATCCACTATTTGGAACAAGACTACGGGATGAACTTTTACAGTTAAATTAAGAGCCATTATTAAAATAATATAAAACTGTATATGTCGGAACGAGAAAAGAACGTCACTTATGCAGGTGCTTATAACTCTTGATCGCTACTTCGAGATATTTCGAGATACATGGAAACGATGATATTCGATTATCGAATTACAAAATTACAAAATAATTAGCAATTTTGTATATTTTTGATTTAAAACATATAGAATGCGCTAATAGATTAAGGGAGGTTAGGGTATTTAATTTTTTTTTTTTTTTCGATTTTTTGAAAATTTTTGAGGTAGAAGTACCATATTTCAGGAATATTCTGTAAAAATTTCAAGTCGATCCAAGAAAAATTGACGGAGATAAACTTATAAACTAACAGAATCGCTTGGGTTTTTTTGTTTTAGATAATCCAGTCTTGAGTTCAAATGTCCATCGCAAAAAGCGTTTTTTTCAAAGCGCCTGACAAAAGTTGCTGCCACTTACTCAAATCTTTATATTTTTTTTAATTATTACTTATATATAGTTCAATGTTTCTTATTATTATAAACCTTATAACTAAGTGTTTTTTATTAGAACCTTAAAATTAAAACATTTTACGAAAATTTATTTTAAGATATTTTATTTTTTTAAGTAACATTATATTTGTACTTTTCTTATTTCTTTATTTTTATATATTTTATGTAAATGTAATATCACCTGTTTAAATTTAATTTCATTGCAACGATTAATAGAGATTTGATCAAAATAAATATAGAATTCAATTGAAAAGTGCATCTGCGAATTGGACGATTTATATGTCAGGCTATTGTATCACTTTTGTCTGTATGACTAATATAGTTTTCTTTTTGTTACAGGTGATCATCGTTGAATTTATCAACAAACCTTCTGGGTTCTTTTTTATTTGAGTGGCTTAAATTGCTTCATTTTAAAATATATGTATAAATGCATTTCTGAAGGCACACACACATGTTTATACATTAAAAATTAAATATATTTATTTACAATTTTATTACAATAGAATTATACTATTTATACTATCAAAGAGAGAGAATATATTATATACTATCATATACTATCAAAGAATACTGTATTCTTTGATAGTATTGTACCGTCATCACGTTAAGTACTTACTATCGCCCACTGATGGTCCCGGTAGTAACTAAGATGAATCTGGTTAGATAAAAAAAAGGAACTTGTGTGCTTCTATGTATTTCTGTATTTCTTGACATTAGTATGTATAGCAATATATTATTTAGTAATTTCATAGAAATGCTTCTTACCATCCTTTCGCGGGAATTCTGTAGAATTTGCTTTGTATTTTTTTGTTACACTGATATTACATCCTTGTAACCGATAGGATTGTCAGAAAATGAAAATATATTTGAATATTACAAAATTCTAAATATTTTACATGAATGATATGTAATATATAGAACAAGGTCTGTACTAGATTTAAGTTTATAATGTTCTAATTATATGTATAATTAATATATTTTTATTATGTTAATTTAGGTAACAATATATATATATCTATAATATGGAAACTCCAGAAATATTTCCATTTCCTTTCACACCGTACAAAATTCAACAAGAATTTATGAAAGAATTATTTAAATGTATTGAAAATGGTAGTATGGGAATATTTGAAAGTCCAACGGGAACAGGAAAATCATTGTCTGTCATTTGTGGTGCCTTAAAATGGTTATTAGATCACGAGAAACTACAGAAAGATGAACTTAATTCTGAAATTACTGATTTAGATAATAAGATTAAAATGATCGAAGATACATCCGATGATTGGTTTTCATGTCAGACCGAACAAATGGAATATAATCATAAAAAAAAAGAATTGCAATCTAAATTAGATGCTATTACTAAATACGAAAAGAAAATTCAACAATATAAAGAAAAAATTAAAAAGAAGAATACAAAAGAAAAAAAGTCATATATTAAATTAAAATCTAATCCTTCCGATACACATATAGATGATAATCTATCGATTGATCCAGAAAATGATGAAATTGATAAGGATTTATTATTGGTAGATGAATTATCAGATTCAGAAAATTCAGCAGAAGAAGAAGAAGTGGAACAACAAAGTTTTCATACAAAAATTTATTTTTGTTCAAGAACTCATTCACAACTCTCTCAATTTGTTAAAGAATTAAAGAGAAGTCCTTATTCAGAGAATGTAACTGTAGTTACATTAGCTTCTCGGTAAGTTTTATGTTGAAAAATTTTATGATTTTATAAATTAAAAGTATAAATAAATGAACTTATTTTAGGCAGAATTATTGTATTAATAAAAGTGTAAAGAAATTAAAACATATTAATCTTATCAATGAACATTGCTTACAATTACAAAAGAAAAAGACTACACGTAAGGAAGAAAAAAATATTAAGAAATTAAAAGTAACAAACAGCTGTCCATTTTTATCAGGAAATCAAGAATCATTGATGGCTGAATTATTATCGGATATTCATGATATCGAAGAAATTATTCAAAAAGGAGAAGAACTTAATGCTTGTCCATATTATACAGTAAGAAAATCTATTCAAGAGGGTCAATTAATATTAGTACCATATAATTCTATTTTACACAAGAATACAAGAATTAGCTCAGGAATAAATTTAAAAGGAAATGTTTTAATAATCGATGAAGCTCATAATTTACTTGACGCTATTGAAAGAATGTATAGTGCTTCAATTACAGGAAGAAATATACTTCATGCTTATAATCAATTATCACAGTATCAGAAAAAGTATTATATTTTATATTGTAATTAAATATATTTTATATAAAATTGTGAATCTATTATATAATACTATTTTATAGCATTATTTTAATATTATAATAATTTATTTCAGATATCAAACTTTGTTTAATGCTAAAAACGTACTTCATTTAAACCAATTAAGCTTTTGTTTGAAAAAGTTTTTAACCGTTTTTGGAGCTACAACAAAATCCCTTTCAACTGATATTATCAGTGGTGATTTAACATCTAAATTATATACTATACAGGAATTTGAAAGAACAACTGATATTGATACTTTGAATATCTTTGATTTAATAAGTTTTGTGAAAAAATCTAAACTTATTAATAAATTAAGAGGTTTCATAGAACAGTATGGCAATAATATTAAAATCCATGAAAATAATAAAAATAAAACTGGCATAACTCAATTCTTAAAGTCAATTAGTAATGTTAATAAGGAAGAAAACGTTGAAAGTACAGAAGTAGTGCAAAATGAAGATGAAACAAATAGTCCATTAACATTAATTCTTAGCTTTTTAGAATGTTTGGAAAACAATTGTGCTGATGGTCGTATAATTGCTATACCTGGCCCTACTGTTGGAAAGGGAATTTTAAAATTCCTTTTATTAAATCCAGCAGCTCATTTTCATGATGTTGGTAAGTATATATGGAATATACTGTTTTTTTATTTAATATAAATAATAATAAATTTAAAGAAATTTTATTTTTTATAGTAACAGAGGCCAGAGCCGTAATACTAGCTGGCGGAACCATGGAACCTATATCTGAATTTACTGAACAATTATTTTTAGCAGCGGGTGTTGAACCTGAACGAATTTTAACATTTTCCTGTGATCATGTAATACCTCAAGAAAATATTATATCCAACATCCTTATGTCTGGTCCAACTGGAGTAGAATTCGAATTTAATTTTAAAAATAGACAAAATACAAAACTAGTATGTGCATAATACTGTGATAGATTTAATTTTCATAAAACTAATGAAAAATTATGGTCTACTGTTTTTAAATTTACAGTTGGATGAACTGGGAAGAATGCTAATAAATTTTTGCAACATTATACCAGCTGGTATTGTAATATTCTTGCCATCTTATGATTATGAGAATATAGTATACGAGCATTTATATAAATCTGGTGTAATAACTAAAATTCGTTTAAAAAAACAGATCTTCCGTGAACCAAAATCAACGTCTCAAGTATATACGTTTATTAATAATAAAATTGATATATATGTATATGTATATATATATTCTTTTTTAAAGAAATATTTTGATTGAAATATATTTGTTTCAGGTCAATGATGTTTTAGAACAATACTCACGATGTATAAATTGTCCACAAAGTCCACAAAATGGGTCATTATTATTTAGCGTTATTGGTAATATCAAATATTTTATTATGCATATTTTTCCACAATAAACTATTGTCACATTAAGTTACAAATATGCATTTATATACATATACAATCTAAATGAGTTTTGTTTTTTAGGTGGCAAACTAAGTGAAGGATTAAATTTTTCTGATGATTTAGGAAGATGTATTATTGTTATTGGAATGCCATATCCTAATATTAAATCAATGGAATTACAAGAAAAGATCAAATATTTAAATGAAAATGTTGTATGTACTAAATTTTATTTATAAATCTAATTTTTAAATTTATACTTAAACAAAATTTTTAAATATCTCTTATCGTTGCTTTATACCAAAATAGAAATCAAATGCTGGACAGAATTTCTATGAAAATTCCTGCATGAAAGCAGTAAATCAGTGCATTGGACGAGCTGTACGTCACATTAACGACTATTCAAGTGTAATATTAGTTGATAAACGTTACTGTAACAAAATGAAAGCACTACCTCGATGGATTCAGCGTTCATTAGCAGTCAGTCAATCATTTGGAAATACAATAAGTATGCTAGCTAAATTTTTTGCTGCAAAAAAGAAGAAAATTTAGAAGGTGTATTATTGGTGTACCGTAATTTATTACAATGTATATATTATATGTGAGTATATTTTTTTGTATCTATCTTTTACCTACATTTTATTTATGTATGGCTTTTATGTATCATATATATCCATATCTTTACATATAATTAGCCAGTTGTATTCCGAATTTATACGTGAGATCATGACAATATACTTGACCTGGATACAGCACAGCACATGGAAAATGTGCCTGAAAAAGTGTATATCATAATAAGCATTAGAGAAAATATATCTATCGTTAATAATATACATTTTCAACTTAATAATAAAATACGTTAATATACATACATAATTAATAGCATTTGGATAATTCTGAGGTTGAATACTAAAAGCACAATTCTTTTTATAATGTGCTCCTTTTTTTCCTGTAAGAAAATCAAATGGTTTTACATCAGATATTAAAAATTCCTCTCCGTTCTCTTTAATTTCTTCATTTGTACTCAAGTAATTGTTAATATTTTCATGATCTACCTTTAATCGTAATATTACATATTTATTTTAAATATTCAATGAGATATTATTCAACAATTTTTTATTATTCACCTTTTCTTGATGCAAGAAATGATCGTATGTTTGAAATGTTGAAGGAGAGAATTGTTGTAGTAAACGTCCGCCAGTATAAAATTGGAGACCAGGCTGATCTGAGTAGACTTCCAGAACGCTAATAAATACAGTAAATATAATACAGTTCTATACTTTATAGAAATATCATTTGTATACCGTCCAGATTTCATATGTAATGCCCGAGCAACAAATGAACTACCAGATTGCCAATTTTTTGTTATACAAAAGTTGTGATCAAAACCTTCTCCTGGAGGAACCTACAGAATAATGAAATACTATATGTATAGGTTCCTTATTTTTCATGTTTTTATATGCTTGTATTTCTAAATATTTTATAGTTTTAATGAGTTTTTTTATATACTTTTCGTTACCCGTTTTTAGTATTACACATATGCATAATTTTGTATATAATATAATACTTTCTCCATATATTCTCCTAGAAGTCTTGGTACACGTAGATCCATAATTGTTCCACCTACTCCTCTGATAGCTCCCGTTGGTATAGGATCTAAGTAATCTGCAAATGTCCATCGATCACAGTTCAATAATATCTTATGCTTTTTCAATTCTTTTTCACCAGCATCCTATATATTAATTATATATTATCTTATATTTAATAATATATACACGTGATAAGATAATAATTATTATTTGAAGTAATCGTATTTTACTTACATGTCCAGCAAGATTAAATAAAGAACCATGTGACATATTTATTATAGTTGATTTAGATGTTGTCGCACGCATATGTATTTCCAATTTATTATCTGGCGTTAATTTGAATCTTACTGTAGCTAAGACTGCACCTGGATATCCTTCTTCTCCATCTTCACTTAAATAACTCATAACAACAGAACAACCGTCGATATGTGAGTTCCAAATTTGTCTACCAAATCCATTTGTCTAAAAAAATGTTTAAATGCATTTTTTATTATCTTTATTATTGCCTAATAGGAATACAAAAAAAAAAGACATAACATTTTACCCCTCCATGTAAATGATGAATATTAAGATCATTCTTAGTTAATTGATAATCTTTATCTTTAATACTAAAACAACCATTTTTTATACGATTTGCACATCTGCCTAATACACATCCAATAAATGGATTAAACACAGGATTCATGTAACCTGAAAATTAAATTTCCTTGCAAATACATGAATAAGATGAATATATAAAATATAAAACGATAATATAAAAATAATAAAATATATTTTTTTTTAACTTAGATATCGTACTTTTTAAATCATCAAAGCCAAGAACAACGTCTGTACTATGACCAAATTTATCAGGACATTTAAGGGATATAATAGATGCACCCCATGTGATAACAGTAACTTCCATTCGGTTATTATTTATCATAGTATAAGACTTAACAATTATAGGCTTTAATTCATTCAAACTTTGTTCACTATGTTTAATTAAAGTTTCTAAAGATTCTTGCTCATAATTTGGAGTCTCTCCTCTGTATGTTTTATAATTTAATAAATCTATAAAAACCGCCATATACATAAATATATAAATGTACATAATATATTTTTATGCTTATTCTTCAAAGATATAAAACATACCAGGATATATTTCTCCAAATACCCCTTCTACGATAACACCATTTTTACACCCACAGCCATAAGAATCCATGATATTTTCAAAATTTAATATTTCTTTATTTCAAGTATTATTTAACTGACGTTATTGTTATAATTAAACATATGATATTTATTAATTTAAAAAGAATTTTTAATATCACTTTATTGTATTAACAGTAAATAAACTAAAAATTTGTTTTACTTATTGAAGTTTTTTTATAAATAAAATACAAGTTGACAGTAGAATATCGTTGATTTGCACAATCGCAAACGGTGATAAATAAGATTTATTTTTTAATGAATATAATACACTGTAGCAAGCATTGTACATTCTTGCGGTTGAAAAAATCCGAAATCATTGACGTAGAGTAAATATCTTTGGTTCGATTTTTTCTAACATTCTCAATAAAAAAAAAGGTTAAACAGAAGCTAAGAATTCAATAATCTTTTCGTCGTTATTTAAAATCATTTATTATAATGATAATAATTAATAATTAATAATAATAATAAAAATAATAATAATAATAATGATAATAATAATTATAATAATAATAAAAATAATAATAATAATAATACGTTGCGTATAACATACGCTTGATGTTATGATAATAATTATTATTATAATGCATATAAGTCCGATTATTATTTATAATTTATATAACTAATATTTAGAGAATAATGTACAATACTTGAAAAAATACATGAGTTTTTAGTGCATACATGTCATATTGAAAATTGTTCTTTTACGTTTTGTATTCTATTATAATCTCGAAAGCATTTTTATAAAAGCAATTGGTAGTAAGAAATTATTTGTCATTTTGCTAATGTAAAATTAGTCTCAAATTAAATCTTTTGTGTCCACCAAAAAGAAAAAAAGCTTAAATTGCAATATCCGATATTATATTTGAAATTGTTTTTTTTTTATTGTAATAATTATCTTAAACTTTTTTTATAATTATGTTCTTTTATAGATTTCTTAGTATTCAGAAATCCACACTCTGCGTTACTTTTATTTAAGGCGCACACCAAAGCAATCATTTGTTGCTTAAATACACGTGGAACACATTGCACTCAGCTGCTTAATTATATTCTTATGACTATTGAGTAGTTTAAATAATTCTCATATTTATATGGAATCGTGAGTTATTTTTTCTTTTCTCATTTTTTTATAAGCCTGTCTCCATAATAAAATCAAGAAATTAAAAAAAAAAAATGTAACTTTATGAGAATGATCTATATATATGTATATTTGAAGAACTGTGATATCTCCCCATCATAATAAAATTATATTTTTATATATATATATATCTATATTATATATTAAGTAAAACTACATTATCCTTCTACAGACAAGTACACGTACAAACATGAGGGGAACTATCACAGTACAAATGTTCAATCAGACATTTCATTTACAGTTAATTTCTTGGTCATAAATGTTATTGTACAAAATTATTAGATTGCAAGCAACACATGCAAGTTTGAATGTGAGTTATATCATTATATATTTACAATTTAATTTTATTTTATAAGAGATAGGTTTAGTGTGTTTTGTGTGTGTGTTTGTGTGTGTCTATGATTTGGTCATATTATATATATATTTAAGAATATGAGAGAGAATTTAAATATAAATCGTACAACTCTATTTCTGCAAACAATTTTTATGTGCAGCATATAGCATTTGAACATTTTGTCAAATATATTAATACTGTTGACCAAAAAAGATAATTTTTATAACTGATAAGTATTCTTTTTGTGTGTAATTTACTTTAAATATACCATTGAATATGTTAAATATCGCACACATCTGATAGAATACAAAATCTGTTTCTTCTTCTATATAATTTAATCTAAACAAGTCATAATATATAAAAAATAAATATAGCTTAGACTAGCACAGGTGGCGATTGTACGCCGTTATATAATTCATACATCTATAGCTGCCGAACATCATAATCTCATAGAATTAAATTATCATAACTATTAATGTATTGATATTAGCATTCTAAAATTTTGTTAAATGTTTCTCGATTATTTTGGAAGCATTTTGAATTTTTGTGTCACTTACATTAAATATGTGATACTAGCACCGCGAAATGTCTTTGTATGGCACAGAAAGGTATACCCATTATAAATTATTCAGCTTCAGATTATTATGTGATATAACCAATTTACCTAAATCTTTCTCTATATTACATAATGTATATGTATATAATAAAATGCAAGATATCTCTTAAATGATTTATTTTATATAATAATGTGTCACTTTTCTGTACTTAACAAAGATAGAAATGCATACTGAACTTCCATAAATCTTTTCTTAACAAAGATCTCTCTAGTGAAATGTCATATTCGCATTTTAAACCAAATCGATCTCTCCAGATACGTTTTATAGATAATATACTGTTGATATTAATATAATAGATCAAAGAGATCTATTAGTAAAATTATAGTATTACTACAACTTCAACAATTTAAAAACATTCCATTGTAAAAAATGATGCTTTATGATGAAGCACTTTCCTTTTTATTTTATTCCTACTATATTTTATGTACATTGCAGTATATCCTACAATACTGATTTTTATCAATCAGGAAAGTATCATGTTTATCCAATTGTACTCTTTTAAAAGAAAATTCCTATGTTTTGCATGTTGAGATGTAATTTCATGTTTAATTATAGAAATAAAGAAATTACTTTTGATTTGTATAAAACATAGAGTATAAAATATACGTAAAATATAAATAGATTTTGATTGATTTTTAATATTAAATTAAAATCATATGTTAATTATTACCTGTTGCTAAGATTTGTAGCACTCATACTACATATATATAAGAGAATTTTGCACTGTATGAGCACGTACTACAAACTGTCTCCTATGTTTATACTTTCATACTTTAATTTTCATGTAGCAACTTTGCCTTATATGTGAGGGATGAATACTGATCTAATCCAACTCACTATGCGTACCATATAGTAATTTCAGGCACTACTTATTAATAATAAATTAACAATACATATCCTTACAATGTTTAGTTAGTTCTTTTAGTAGTTGATAAGTATATTAAGTGAATGACACATTCACTATTATCTTCCATACTTTCCAATTGTAATATATATCAAATTGAAAGTATATCTCTCAAAATTCTCTTTGATGAGTGCATTGTATTTTATATGCACATTTGTATTACTATTGGCTTTCATATCTCCAAGGTGTATGTAGTATATTTGATTTAATTCTATATGCGCCTAAGAGATATGTATTATACAAATTGTACAAGGAATGTAGGCATAGTTGATCTAATATAAAGTGATAATTATCAATTAGTGCTTATTTGTATGTACAATATTGATTATTTATATGAGGTGTTTAAATTCTAAAATCACTTATAAACAGATTGTACCCTATATAACTGTACCATTTGTAGAGTACTATGCATGTTGACTACTATGATCTACAGGCACACTAACCAGTTCAATGCATGCTGTATTACATAAAAAAAGAAGTACTCTGACAAGTGTCTCAGTTGGGTACGCAATTTATCTTCAATGATAATTTATAAGTACATACAAATTCTTACTATACAACTTTTTATTATATATGTACCTATTATTTAGTATTATATATCTAATATCTTTCAATTCGAATGAGTATGCATATTCATCGTGTTGTATGCAACTTTACATGGGAAGATAATAAAATAATATTTGAAACAGCGGCGAAATACATCGTATAATAACATTGTGTATTTTTATGGCTCTATTATTACAGTGAGTAACTTTAAATTTTCGGATAACAAAAAAGTTTGTAGTGTCCGAATATTAAAATTACTTATTGTATATAAAAAAATCTAAAATACCATATAATTCAGTGCCTATTATGATTCAAAATAAATATTACAATGGAAGTAAAATTATTATAAATGATATTACGAATAATTAAAGAATTACTGATGAATAAGTGTATAACAAATAGTTGTAAAAAATAATATTCATATATCTTATACAAATTTCATTGGAATGTTATTACTACAATACTGAACATTACTGCAACATATATATGTATATAATCGTGCTAATTAGGAAACAATATATCATTAATTAAAAGAACATATAAAAGTCTAATAAACATTTTTCATATAATTTTACTTTTAAGTAAATAAAAATTGTAATACAACAGTATACATATTACTATTTGTTTCCACTTTTTTTATCAGTATTAATAAGGCATACACACATATATATGGAATGTATATATAAAGATATAAATAATATATGAAACTGTTTCTTTAAACCATACTACATAAATGTAGTTTTTTATTAGTCATTTGAATATATATATTCCTATCATTTTCATGAATTATTGTGTAATATAAATTGTAATGCAAGAGACACAATGATTCTTTGTTCATTATAAATAGATTAATATCTTATTAGAGAATCTTCTTGATTATCTCAACTAACAAGTTAACTGGAATGTAAAATATTCTTAGTGTACAAGATTTTCTGCAGTATTGTTATATGAAAACATTTTACAGGAGGCAGTGTTTTAATGACGTAGATCGTAATACATCGCACTTATAACATTCCTATTAAAGTATTTCGCCGCATTCCATTAATCTCTCAATTACTCAAATTACAGTGTATGATATTTTCGAAATGAATAGATTACAGTGGCTATTAACTCTGGCTATCTTCCCATTATTTTAAATAAGCCAGTGCTATGATAAAAATTCTCTTTCTAATTCAGAGATACTTGGTTTTCTATTTCTATTCGGACGTCGGTTAGCTTGTAAAGGTACTGTCGCATCTTGCGTTTGTCCATGCACAGGAATATCTAATAATGTTTCCCTATGATCGCGCGAAACTCCATCTCGATCAAATGTTACAGGAGAAAATCGAACTCTACTTATAGAAATTTGACTATCTTTTGCTGAAACATAACTCGAATCTTCCGACGTTAGTGAATCTGGTGGTGTAGGATTCGTTGGCGTACAAGACCCTGAATTATTTTTACTTGTACCTTTATTTGGGGAATTATAAGAATAATTAGATCGTTTCAAACTCGAGCGTAAACGAGTAACTACCTCAAGATTACTTGGACGTTCTCCAGAATTCGAATTTGATTCGTGAGAATTTTGACGCGATAGAAATTTCGAACCATATTCATGATTAAGGATACCAGAATTATATAATGCTATATTTGAGATAATGTTTGATGATCGTTGATAAAAGAAACTTGGTGGATATAAAGAGTAAATTTCTTCATCCTCTAAACGAAATGTTGGATTAATGTTACTCTGACTTGATGTACTTGCATTGGAAACGTTCGATGAGGTGCGATGATGTGTGTACAAAGGAAGTCTTGATGTAGGTCGAGCAGTATTGTTTATACTACTTGGATTGTCATATGCATGTGGAAATTCAGGACAGTCTAACATTCGTTCACTATAAAAAAAAAACAAAGATAAATGATTCATTTCTTTAAATTTCACAGAAGAATATATTTTGAAATAATATTAAATACTTACTGATAATCTGGGTGTACAAAATAAGATGATTCAGGTGGATTACGTCTTACCGATGGAGCAATTGAATACACTGGTGGTCCATAATCAGGAAATGGTGCATTTGCCATATAAAGTGCAGTTCCCCTTTCTATACGTTCGGCTCTAATTGTATCAGATGGGTATGTATCTTCATTACTTGTACTACTACTTTTTCTACGTGGGCTTGGTGTTGGGGCATTAGAACCTGTACTACTGACATAATGTTGTGGTGAATCTGTAAACCGTAATGGTTTATCTGTTATAACACTAGGAGGAAGACCTGGAGCAATACCACCCATATTACTCAAAAATGGCCTGTAACAAAAAGTATTATTTAATAAAAGTAAATTTTTGATTAAAAAATTTATTGTATTGATATACAGTAGATATACTCGATTATTGGAACGCTGTATTAGCTGAACAATATCTTTAAGTATTCGATTATTTGTACGCAATGTGTACTAATGATCAAATCAAAAGTTTGCCAAAATAAAAGTTGTCTTTTTATTATCCAAATATTTTATCTCCCAATTAGTTCCGATAATCGAAGCTCTACTGTACATTTAAAGTTTTGAAGTTTACACTCAGACCATAGAGGTGTACCTATAATGACGAGCTGGTCCATGATAAGTATTATGAGGATAACCACTGCTCGAACTAAATTCATAGTCAGGGCCAAGGTAACTAGAATTACGATTTGATCCAATATCTGCATGAAACCACCATCTTGGTAAATCATCTTCGCATTCATTTAATCGTGGATGTAGTCTTGGATGAATTGGAGATATGTTTGACATTCGCACATCATACCCTGTCGCCACACCAGCCAACATGGCTGCGATATTGTATAATACCAGCTCAATTATGCTTAATTTTGGTTTTTTCATTTCACCATTGTATAGAGTAGCCATAGGAACAGGCATTGGCATGATGTAAGCACCAGTCAATCCAGGTGTTAAAGAATAATCCGGTGTTACCCATTCGGTTGAGATATCAGATGGTAATGCTGTATAATCTATAAAAAACAATCATATTTCCATAATAATAAATATGTTGTCCATCTTAAGATTTATTGACATCATAATAATATTTTTATTTCATAGTTTAAAGTAAGTTTGTATATATGAAATGAGATTGATTATTCATAACTATTTTATTACAATGGTTATTGAACAAACGTTTTTCAAATTCATTTGTATGTCTTACCTTTATGAAGTATCTAATACAAAATTTTATTATTCCAGTAGTAATTTTTACCTTCAAAGATTTTCATTAATTAATAACAAAAAAGTATAAATAAGAAAACTGTTTATAAGCATAAAGTATGACATGCATATTTTATATTTGAAAAATATAATCTATACGTATATTTCTGTTAAAATCTAACAAGTTAATAAATTTATTCAAATAGGATTTTATTAGGAGAAATGATAATGATATTAATAATGTTATTTAGATTAAAAGTATCTAAGATATTATAATTAATTGAAGTATTTAATAGGAGATCCTGACTTGTTACAAAAATTAAATTAATAAAGAACATTTATAGCAAAGCAAGCAATATTCAATATGTAAGTGTAATTTATCTTTAAATAATTATTTAATTAGTATTAGTATTTTTGTATATTGAATACTACATTGATATAAAATGTGGTACAATGTATTTATCTTGGGTGGATTGAAAAATTTTGAACTTGACATAGAAACTATTTGTTTTGATAAAATTCACTTTTATTACAAAAAAAAAATACTGAAAGATTTTTTGTTAAGACTCAAAACTTTTCAATTTCCCCTTGTAGATATACACTATATAGGCAAAAATATTGCTTCAATATATCTCATACATTGCATGCAAAAGTTGCATATTAATTTGAGACAATAAATGTAATATTAAACAAGTAAAAATGTAGTCATAATAATTTATTCGAAGTATGTATCTATTCTTAATTTAACGTTTATATATACTTTGGCTCATATCAATATTTAAATTTTAGCTTATACATCGAATAAAGAAAAAATATATGTTCAACATGCACGATGACGCAACAAATGCAGATATTTTAATAAATGCAAGTGCAATATAAAGAAAGATCTATGTAAGCAGATATGTATAGATGCATAAACCTAATATGGTCATTTGTAATTTTTAGTTACAAGCATATCTTTAATTAATGATAATTTAGATGTATTCTAAGAATTTATGATTAAGTTGATTTATTAGAAAAAACAGTCCTTTCTGTGCTTTTCGTATTATTCTGTAAATTATAAAATACAGAATATAATAGCATGAAGTGTGGAATACTTGCTTCACAGAGTCAATTCACGTTCGGAAGGATAGAAAAGGACCAAACCCAATTGGAGTTAATTAGGATTCTACTGGAAGCATGCAGGGAACTTTTTTACGCTCGGTTATTGCTATATACCCATAGTATTTAAGATTCAAAGTAACAAAAGTAAGTAAGGTTTTTCTTAGTTCCAATACGTATTCCATTCATTTATACTTTATCAATGATAAATTGATATTATTTTATATATATGCAAATGTATTAAAAATATAATGCAAGCAAGGATTTAAACATATTAGAGACATATATGACTACAATATTGTTATATACAATAGAAATTTTTGTCCAAATTACTTAATTTTCTGATCCTATTTAAAAAAGAGAAAAAATAAATATTCAAAGTGAAATCACAGGACCGAGCGTAAAAACCCGAGAGAAAAACGAAAAAACAAAATTCAATGTGTCCAACTGAAAAGGTTTTATTGAAAAAATTTCTATGTCTAAATACAAGTGTGTGCTTGTGGTCCATATATAATATGTGATGTGTGCAAATTGGTTTTTTTTTTCTTTTAAAGATATTCGGAGTTTACTGTAAGTAATACTAAAACAAATCGCTGAAAGTTATTCTAACAAGTAAACAATGTGCAATCAATTTAAATGCACATAATGCAATAAAAATAGCATAACTACTTTAATTATGAACAGTATCTCATATGTAAATCTTCTAATTCTGACTTAAGCTTCATTGTTATGACTAAATAGACACAACTTAATAACGCTCTAACACTGGAATACTATTAGAGTAAAACTGCTGTAATGGCAGAAGCGCACAGTTCTTTTCACATAGTAGTAGATTGTTAGCTCTGCTTGTTAGAATGTTATATACTCCAAATAATATAAGAAAAGAACCAACACCAGAAAGGCTGCATTTTTTTTCTTTGAGCTTCTTTTTTTTCCCATCAGCTTACATTAAGGCAATAAATAATTTATAGATTATTTTAGAATATCAAACGCAAGACTGCAATTTGTCGGCAATCATGTGTAAAGATAATCTTAGCTCAATGAAATATTTGATTGTATTTTAAATAAATCAGCCTATATTGACACCAACTTGTAATATTCTTTATAAAATACTTAAATTTATGCCTGGTCCCTCACCAAAGTTTATAAAGATCACTTTTTTCAAAACATGTAATAGTACATATTGTGCTAAGTGATTTTTTAAATGGTTTTATTCTTAAAAAGGCAGAGCTCCATTATCAAATAAAATAGCACAATTTTTTTATAAAATATCTGAAAATAGCTTACATAAATAGATATCTAGGAGCATTGTTGTTGTATGAGCAGTAGACAATGACAAGAATCATTGATTGGTGTATTCATGCATTACGTTTATATGATCAAGTTTAAGCACAATCTACGTAATACAACTTAGCAAGATAAAAATATTTTGTTATGAAAGTAAAAACACATTCTCTATTTGAGATCGTTGCTTCACTACATTACATAAAACTTTGTGAAAAAAATAAAGAAAAAATAAAAAAGAAAATGAAATAAAATAAATAAAAATAAAAAAAAAACTTTTATGTAAAACAACGTATATGTTTTTCTTTTCTACCCTTCAACACTCTCCCCTCTACCACCCACCCACCCCCTTTTNACTTTGTGAAAAAAATAAAGAAAAAATAAAAAAGAAAATGAAATAAAATAAATAAAAATAAAAAAAAAACTTTTATATATATATATATATATCTATGTAATTCTTGCAATATTATGAGAAAACTTACGAGTGGGATAAATGTTTTCTTCAGAAAGGCCTGTGATAAACAGAAGATATGCTTGTTATAATAAAAAATAATTCAAGATATATAGCAAACTGAAGAAATTAGCTCATAAATCGATTTTCGAGTTTTAAATTCTAGTATTAAAAATTAAATTTAAGATATAATTGATTGATATTATACAATCATTTAATAATATATATAATATATATCTGTATATAATAATATATAATATATATATATATATTTAATAAAAATCTTCTATATAAATCATTACTTATATCTCGTTTGTTCGAAAAAATGTTTCCATTGCAATACTCTTAAAAAATATAGGATCAGTAGACATTAAGTTCTTCAAAATTTCCTGAAAACTCCTGGTAAAATGGTCTTTGAACTACCATCAGGATGTGAATGTTCACAAGTTTGAACACAAGAACAACTAGGTGAAGCAAAAGTAACACTATTAATTTCATCTTTCACAGGGCTATATAAACATTCGTTACTTTTGGACTTTTGATTGAATAAGGAATTCGGATCAAAGCTACGATCAAAAGACTGATCAGATTGATTCGGCGATGTATCTAATGTACTTACAACATTATCAAGTGACATTGGAGGCCTATTTGACTTGTTTTCTTGAAAATAACTTAATGAATTTTTCGACCTAGAACTATCGTTTGAATGTTCCGAATCAAAATTGCAAAGTTCCGATTCTAAACTCTCAAAGTCTATACCTTCACGAGAATTTGCAGCTAAAAATTTAGGTACATTATTTTGATCAGAATCACGTCGACTAAATTGTGGAAAGGATATCATGTTTTCCAAAACGCTATATTCAACTTTAACAGTAGTTGATTTGTCATCAAGTGCATCACGACTACCCCAAGCTTTAACCTTATTAAACATTCTTAAAGGGCTTCTAGAGACGCGTGATTTATGATGTGATTTTTTACCTATAGAATTTTCCGGACTTGATTCTAAACCATCTGCATCGTTAATCTTGATGGTAACGGAATTTTTTCTTTCTGTACTACGTGGAGAATTTAATGAACTTTTTCTCGAACCAGAAGGGGAACGAAAGAAATCAGCTAACGATCCTAATCTTGATTCTGAGCTATCTCTACGCTTCGATTCTTTTGATTTGCTTCTATCACGTTTTTTATTCTTTACACGTTTTGCAGTACCTACCAAAGTAGATGCTACACTTTGAACAAAATTTGTAGAATAGGAATGTTCTACTTCGCTTGGTGCATATTTTGAAGATTTAGATGACATTGTTTTTAAAACACTTCCACCCGTAGGCATAATCTTCGTATAATTATCTAAAATAATTGAGTGCTCTTCTGAAAAGTGAGTCTTCAAATTGTTCTGTGATTTGTGCTCTATAACCATTGTTTCATATATATCATTATCCAGCATACAAAAGTCTTCCCCTATATTGTAATGTGTCGTACCTGTACTCTGCATAACATTATCGGAATTTTTGGAAATATCATTATAACTGCATCCTGGCTGATTGTTTGCTATTAAATTATTTGCTGAGGAGTACAATTTTCTGGAGGAGGGGTTACCTATTTCTTGCAGAAGCGGGGAACGATGTGCGCTTGCCAGCAAAGCTGTACGCAGTGGAGTCTTTTCAAGATCTGGCGCAGAACGAGACCAACGTTTGCCACCGGGCGATGCAGGATTTGGTGGTTGTGTGATTATAGCTCCACGCTCTCGTTGATGAAGAGTAGATGGTCCCCAAGTCTTACCCTTAACTCCATCTGCTGGTACTATAGATGGAAGACAAAAAACAAAACGCTACTCTACTAATACTAGCTACAAATTTCCTATCCTTTTCTTTTATTACATTTATTATTTTTATTCTTGAGCTTTATATTCGTAATCTTAAAAAATTTCGTTAATGTAATTCTTTGACAAGTATGTGTTCACGAATAACTATAGAAACTAATGCTTTTTTTTTTGTAAATAGAAGAAAAATAGAGGAACTACTAATAATAATTTACATAAATACTTTCTTTTGCTCACACCATGCTTGGCAAGAAAATATAAAATAAGTATAAATATATCTACAAAGCGCAAACATTGGAAACATCTAGTATGTTTAAGAAATTATGATCATATGTAATAAAAACACATCTGTATAATTTGAAAATAAAATAACATGAATAATACTGTAACTTCACAAAGTTAAAGAAAATGTTAACTCACATGCAATTGCACGAAGTCTTGGAATACTAGGTGAACCTGGTGGACTGTTTGGTTTTGATGGATTTCTACCTTTCCCTCTGTCTAAGGCCGTATGCTGAACAGTTATCGTATGACGAAAATCTGAACAACAAATATATCATATTTTTTTAGAACTACACAAAAAAAAACAATATGATTAAATGCAAGAAATAAATAAAGAGATATATAATTTACCTGAAGGAGCACTAATATTACTTCCTGGTTCTTTTTTATTCAATTTTAATCTAGATTTTTTAAATTTACCACGCCTTTTATTCGGCGTAGGTGTATTTTGCTGTTGTATTATCATGACTGTTAGTTCACGTTCTAATAAATCTATTTCACGAGCCGCTAATTCTTGTTCTCGTTGTCGCAAATTTTCTTCGTGTTGTCGTTGTTGCACTTGTGCTTTTGTCAATTCCTCTTCTCTACAGCGCAATTCCTAAGAAATAAAAAAATATAATAATTTGATCAAAAAATCGTACGTTGTTGTGCTTTAACATATTTCCCATAAAAAATAATTTTAAACTCATATTATTGTACACATCCTTGTTAAAAATTCTTATCTTACCTCTTCGAGAGAACGGCATGCCTTTGTATAGCATTTAACATAATGATTAAATATTATTTTTTCGTTACAAATAAATTTTAATTGAATTCCGATAGTAAAAAATAGTGATTTGATTTGTTTTTAATTAATATTTTATTATACTAAGTTACTATCGGAATGTGTGTGTTATCTATGAATATAATACATTTATTACCTTCTCTTTCATGCGCAATCCATGAAGAACTTGTTCAATTTCAAGCCTCCAATCTTCTTGCATTGTATGAAATGATTCATGTGGTGTTGCTGCAAATGCACTACGTACTTCGTCTAATGCTAATAAAATTTCCGCAAAACCAGGTCTGCAATGACTGTCTGACGACCAGCAAGCTGCATTGTAATTATCAGTATTAATATTTGTAATATTGAGTAAAACATATCAATGAATTATACTTTATTTTGAATTTTTACCTTCCATGAGACACCTCCAAGGTTGAGGACAAGTTGATGGAATTGGAAGCGTCAGTTTATTGACTGCAACACCATAAGCTACAGCTAATGCATCTATACCTTTATAGGGTGTTTCACCGGTTAACAATTCCCATAAAAGTACACCATAACTACAAATAATAATTATTAATCTAATTGTTTAGATTTTAACTAAATTAATATTAAATCAAAAGTAAGTAAACTTGAAACTAACCTCCAAACATCACTAGCTTTACTAAAAGTACTTTTCTTAATAACTTCCGGCGCCATCCAGGCATATGTTCCTGCAGCTGACATACGTGTGGTTTTATAAACTTCTCTAGCCAATCCAAAATCTGTTATTTTTAGTGTTTTATATTGAAGATCATCATTTTCTATAGGTTCACTTAGTAACACTATAATAAAAACATATTTAAAGTTAAAATTAATTTACCTTTAATTGTTAAACTTAGTAATAATTATTATAGAAAAAATATATATGAAATATAACGTATCCTACCATTAGAACTCTTTAAGTCTCTATGAATAAGACTGACAGGTGCTTTATTATGAAGATAATCCATACCACGTGCAATTTGAATTGCCCAATCTACAAGAACGTCCGGTCTGATTTTTCTACCACTTAAAACTCTATTTAAACTACCTCCTCTAGCGTATTCCATGACAAGACACATGTTTGGCATTTTCAAGCAAACACCTTCTAATTGCACAATATTTTCATGTTTTAATAACCAAAATAATTTTGCTTCTTGTCTGACATTTTCTAATATTACACTAGGTTCTTCATCTGGATCCTGGCGAGCTGCTTTCACAGCTACTTCATGCTTCTGCCAAAACCCTCTGTAATGTAATAACATTAAAAAAACAACAATTTATATATATTTGTAATTAACATTGTTCACAATAATAGTCAATATATCATACCTATACACTTTACCAAAACCACCAACACCAATAACTTCTTCTAATTGCAATTCTTCAAAATCTATTTCAATTGGTTGAACTTTATCAATCACTGATGATACCCTATCAATACTCTCTACCTCGGCAACAAAATTAGCTGGAAAAATTCCAACTTTTCCATGAATTTTTCCAGTCCACCATCCCTCATCACCTGAGATTTTAGAGTCCTTGGACAAAACCTAATATAATAGGTAAGACATGTTTACATCGAATACCATAAATATTGTTATGATTTTTAAATATATCGCATACCTCAACAGTTTCACCTCTTTGTAAAGATAACTCATCTTCACCTTGAGCAACATAATCAAATAGCGCAGTGAAAATAGTTGAACTGTTATCCTGTCGTGAACGAGATGATGAATGAGTTCCATGAGATGGGCTAGTTTGTTGGGAAACAGTTCTTGCCGTACCACCACTGTGTGTATCGGAAACACTGCTGTCTGACATATTGTTACTGGACGTTCGTCCATATAAATATCCGTAACTAAAAGGGAACAAATCAAATCACTTCGAAACGTAATAGCTTATAATATAAATCAACCATTGAACTAATACAAAATGATGATCAACCTGGTGGAATGATTGTTCCCTCTGTTTCCAGATTGATATCGTGGAGACAAGGTGGCTGTACTAGAAGTATGAGAATATGTAGAGCCATTCTCTGGATAAAGTAAAAACCGCTCGCTCCGATGACGAGCATCTGGTTGTCCGTGGTCCATCAAGGTAGACAAGCCCCTTGCCGATAGCCCGGCCGGCGGCATATGGATCAACACTTTCTGTAGTCTTTTAGTCCGTGCAAATCACAGTCTCTTATTTTTGCACCTCTAGACAATATTTTGTCTCTTTGATTACACATCACACAAAACAAAAAAGGAGTATCTCAAGGTTTCCCCATTGAAATGAAAATTAATTTAACAAAGTTATACCAATGCGTTCTCATTTATTCATTTTGCATAGAGTCTTAGAAAAGTTATCAGACTTTGAAAATAACTCTTTACCTATGTATCATGTAACTTTTAATAATGTTCGTGTAAGCGTGATACATGGTTGTGATACAAGTTGTTAAACATCGTAGTAAATGAATATTAAAATGAGAATTCGATATAACACTTAGGTTTCACGATAACAAGCGGGGTGAAAGAATATAATCGGTATCGCTACCACCCCGTGGATAAAAACAATTTAATAGGGGCCGGCATTTTGGCTGAGGAATTCACCGACGTCACATAAGGGTTGTCAAAAGTGATGTCAATTTTCTTTTTTATTTTGTCGTAATCGGTGGACAATAATTCGAAGAGGGTGGAATGACGAAAAGTTGTCTCGAAATTGTTCCACCGAAGTGTCGCGTCAGGGTGTGTATACCCACAAGCCACTGTTGACGAGAAGGATTCTTCTTCGGTTAAAAGTCTTCTGGTTAGTCGACGAATAAACCTTCGATGTATTTTTCAAAGCATCGTGTTCCTCTCCACGAGGACGCGACGCTCCGCGTCAATCCGTAGGTTAAATGATAATTCCACATTTATTAAGATCAAATTGATGAGCGCTCATAGTGATAACCTAACGGACGCCATGTTTCGTTTGACGGCCCCACCGTTGACGTCGTGATACGTTCGACCGCGATTCACGGGTGGATATCCGAAAGGCTTTCCAACTTTAATGCAACTGCGATTCTTCGATAGTGTACCACCGACACAGAACAGAGCTTGTTCTCAACGCAACGATGACAATTCGAACGGCGGCCACACGAAAACTACACTATATCGATCTATTTTTCAAAACGATCTCACACGTGTTTTCATACCCTCGGTATTTGACATTTAATTATTTTATTTGATTTCAAATATAAAAAAGATAAGCTTATGATTATAAATATTGTATATGTCGTTAGAAAAATTTATATCCACTCTCGAACCATGTGGTTTATGATCGCGATCATCTGAGAAATGAAGATGGCTGCGGAGCCACTGAATCGTGTGCGCCAAATCCATTGATTAATAAGAGAAAGACCATGTTGAGATTCGTTGTCACATTCTCCTTTGCCACGCGTTTTTTCTTATAGAGAGGATAAGACAAATATATAACCGTTGATCGTCAAGTGATGGGAAAATGGTGAAAAAGTGCTTTTACTATTGGTATGGGTTCGCAAACGCTGGAAATTTTAAGACAAGGCGTCTGGGCGAGCCTAACAGGAGGCTGGTTTTACGATCCACATCTCGATGTTTTCTCAAATACCTTTCATTTATATGTTTGGTTATTTTTGCTTTGTCTTCCATTTACAATATATCTCGTAAGTAATCCTTGTATGTGTTATTAACTCTACAATCAATAGTCTAAGAATAATAATATTTAGATCTTGCTTATCATTGGTTAAGACTGTAATACTCTATTATCTTATATGATTATATTTATATATTATTAAATGTCTTAAAGAATAATGATTTTTTGATTAAACATTTCATTAAAAATATTTTATTTTAGTATTTTCCACCAACATTATATGTTTGGTTAGCGTATTGTTCATCCATTGTTGTATTGTTTGGCACAATAAAATGCATAAATCATGCATTGCATTGTGTCTATGATACAACTGAATGTTTGGAAGAACCAGGTCAGTCTATTAGTCAACAGAAATCTGAAAGTGAGAAAAAACGTGTGGCACGTAATAAACATAGAGAACAATTACAAGACCAAGTGGATCATGGTATAGAACTTCAAGTTTTAAATGGTATTTGTATAGATCTTTATTTTTCTATTATATAAGTTTGTGAGATCAACAAATTTATTTTTCTTATATAATGGAAACGTACTTTTTACATTTCATTCTAAGAATTATATATTTTATCTTTGTTCGTTATTTTTATCTTTATTTCTATATTATCAAAAATGAAAAATTGGTTAGATTTGTAATTAATTCTATTAAAAACTATTATCGATTGTATTTATAGGTAAAACTGATACTCCACCTGTGGAATGTTCATCTCGTAATTCTTTTATCGAGTCCAATATACAAAATGCAGATGCTGATAGTATAACATCGGAATATAATAGAGAAAAACCTAGTTCTACCATAGATTTAAAAGTTGAAATACATAGAAAAAATAGCTCGGAAAGTTCAGAAGAAGCACAGCAATTAAGCAAACCCATGGTAACAAGTATTAATGTACACGAAGCAGAATTAGTTTCTGCTCAATACCATGAACCACGTTTTAGGAATATAATAAATGGTAATTTATTAATAATCATTTACAGTGTCATTTAAAGTAATTTGCAATGTTACATATAACGATTATATCTAGAATGGAGATTGAAGCGACAAAAATGTGTAGTAATAGCAGAAGAAGATCGACCAGGTCCACGTAAATTGTGTAGACATGCATCCGAAGATTCTAGAAATCGGCATTCAAAACAGGGTAGCCTTGGAAAAACTGGATCTGAGAGCCAGATAAAACAAACTAGTTCCTTAGAATTAGAACATCATGGTGATGATTATCCTTATTGGAAATCAAATCAAAGTGTTCGAAGACTTAATTCAAACTCAATTCCAATGGAAACTCACTTAATAAATGACCACCCACAGAGTCTTGAAATTATATCGAAGAAAGAAGATGCGGATAAAAATAAAATTTCCTCACATCCTCAATCATTAGAGGTAATACCTTTTTTTCTTTGGGTTTATAATTTATATTCTATATATTTTATGTTATTTTTGTCCTTGTTCCTTTTTATTTTATGTTTTCATTTTTTGATACTATTGTATTTCAATTATTAGGTGATTACTAAAAAGCCACATCAACAACTTATTCATCCACAAAGTCTTGAAACTATTGGTGCCACTAACAAAAATGTAAATATTACAGATGATAATAATCTACCTTTACATCCACAAAGTCTTGAAACAATTAATACTAAAAAGGTGTGTTCAATATAGAATTTAAATGCAATGACTCTTTGTAAACATTTCAAAGTATCGGTAACCTGTTATTCATTTTATAAAGGTTTTACCTCAGAATACTTTAACAAGAAATCAATTACAATTATTACCATATCTCAGCTATGGATCTGAAATTGTTCATCCAATAGCAGAACAAAGTGATGAACAGTTTGCTAATGAAAGTTCTGGAGGCTTTAGTCTTGGAGACTCGTATAGTCCATTATTGACTAGAAAAACAACGAATGACAACACTACCACTTCTAATCGTGACAGAAGTCTTAGTACTAGTAGATTTGATGATAGATTTTCAAGGTAATTGTTTAATAATTAAAGAATTAAATCTTTGTATAGCAACAATATAAGATTACATAATTGTTTTTAGATTTAATGGTGATACTATAGTTGACAATGACTCCGCAAATTCTCGTGATGCACTTCTTGAAGAGCCAAAATCTAGTGTTAAGAGAAGATATAGTAATGCGAGTCAAAGTAGTCATGAATATTCTGACGGAGAAAGACATAAAGATAAACGACATGAAAAAACAAAAAATATAGAAGATCCTCAAAACTCAGGCAGTGTAGTTGGAATAGACTGGTTATTTGAATGTAGTGATTACCCAATTGAACCATGGACAAGTAAAAGTAAGTACGATAGATGACACTTCCGTTTAAAAAGGACTGTCAAGGGGTAATGCTTTGTAATTTTCTGTGTTGCATTATTATCTTCTTTTAATTTATGCTGCCAGTATTTTGGACTTTAACTCGATCTGATGATACGGATACATCAGAAAGTCTACAGACAGCTAGTACTGATTGTAAGTTTGTGGTATTCCAAATTTAGTATATGCGAATGTAGAAAAGAAAATAGAATATTGGTATGAATCGTCGATCCATTGAACTTTCCTATTTCTCGAATGCTAAATACAAAGAAGAAATTTTTTTGTTTTTTACAGATCTCCATACAAAAGAACCAGATTCAGGTTCATCTAGTACAACAACTTTAAGCCTAGAAAATGAAGTAAAACGAAAATTACTTCCGCAATTGGAAATAGATAGTAAACGTCATCAAGGCGCAATTCCAAAGCAAAGCCGTCCAAAACTTACTCAAGAAACAACAGATGACAACATCTCTTGCATTGAACAAATCAGACCGAAACCAAAACGAACAGTGGAAATTCGCAAAGAAAAAGATAGAAGAGAAACTAAATTTGAACAAACTACTGGTTCAAATAATGAGTTGAGCACTCTATTACCTAGTCCTGCTCCTCCATTATTAGCTGCATTATTAAATTCTGGCAGAGATTTGTCTGCTCAGTCTAGTACTGTATCTGATCTCAGACCTAATCGTAATTCTGAAACTAGAAATTCTCGAGCAAGGCAGAGTCGCTTGAAACGTTCAAATAGGACTCATAGAGGGCCAAGGCCTACTAGAGACGATAACGTTGTACCATTAACTGCTCTGTTTGGTTTAATATCTAACGGAGAATGTCATTTAGCCACTAATCATAACGACACGTCTGAAGGGGCTGTGCATTATTTTCGGGATGATAATGGAGGATGGTTGGCATATACCTTTGATGAAAAAGGTTCTGGTCTTGCTACAGCAACACAAATTCCTTCAAGTAATAATGAAAAATTATTGAATACTTTATTGCGTCAACAACTTAATCAAAATTTACATTATGATGCAAATTGGGAATTAACAGATTCATTAAGCAATAGTTACAGCAGTTTATCTTTAAATTCTGCTGGTTTGACAGTTATCATAGATACACCACCTGTTTTATCAAGTCCAGCGAGTAATCAGACCAAAATACAAAATTCATTACCATCAAATTTAATTTCTTCAAATGCTGGAAGTTCAAGCCAATGTCCAGTGGGAAATCCAGAATGTGATCAGCTTCATCATACTCTTATTTCGGACGCAATAACAGATAGAAATCGCAGATTACATAGCTTATTAGGAAATTTTAATTTATATTCTTATTCGGCAGATTCCAATAATCGTGTACCCGTATTAACATTACCTACACATCAAGAAGCTGACATAAACTCAAGCTTATCTTGGAATCGTTTTATAGATGGTTTAGATGGATCTGATACAAAACCTAAACAAACAAGGCATTATTATAAATGGAAAATAGGGAAATTACCACATGTTAAAGTGCGATTCGATAGACTGGCATTGTTAGCTCTACTCGATCGTAATTTAACTGTTTTAGAAACAATTGTTTCTACGTTATTAGCTGTTATTGTTGCAGGTTTAGGATTAATTTTACTTCAGCAAGGATTTTATCGAGATATTTTTGCGTTTATATTTTGTTTTGTAACTGCTGGTTGTCAATATTCTTTATTAAAATCAGTTCAACCAGATGCTGCATCTCCGACGCATGGTTTTAATCGTATCATAGTATTTTCTAGGCCAGTATATTATATACTATGTTCAGGATTTATTTTAATCTTTAATGAATCTTTAAGAAATTTTAAAAGTTCAGAATTTCGTGTATATGGTTTACGTGTTATTGATTGTGATATCATATTACAAGTAAGAAATGTTTTAGTAATTTTTCTTCTTTGCTTCCCAATTGTATTCTCATTAGGTTTATTTCCACAGATAAACACTTTCCTAATGTATCTCTGTGAACATTTAGATATCCATTTATTTGGTGGAAATGCCGCTACCAGTTTGGTCTCTTCTATATACTGTCTTGCTCGTAGTATAATTACTGTTACTATATTGTATGGATTTGCATATGGTGCTCTTACTGAACCGAAATCTTCACAACATATCTTATTTTCTATCTTTGCTGGATTACTTGTAGCTATATCTTACCATCTAAGTAGATCATCTT